CTCTTCAAGTGTGTGTTGCGTGTGTAATGTATGTATTGGGTATCCTACTTCCTACTAATATTAATAAATGCGAATGTTTGTATGGATGTCTGGATGTTAACATGTTTGTTACTCTTTCACGCAAAAACTACTGCACGAATTTTGATGAAACTTTACAGTATTATTGTTTAAAACCCAGAATCCTCCTATCACATAAAAAAAAAACCGGCCAAGTGCGAGTCGGACTCGCGCACCGAGGGTTCCGTACAAACCTGCAAGGTTTACAAAGTTCGTTCATTACGACAATCGAGTCATAACTATGGTATTTTTATTGCAAAATGAAATTCATAACATTACAATGGGGAAAGATGGAGGAGCATAAAGGACATCATCCACGTTTCATATATTTTTGGTCCAAAATCAAAAGTGCCGGCCAACAAAAAAAAGTGCTGTATTCTGACAGAATACGTCTGCCTTAGCATTTGTTACCAAAGCCGTAGCTCCACTGTGCGTCGAGTATTTGAGATCTAAAAGTCATCGACTATTCATACATTTTTTGTTCAAAATCAAAAGTGTCGGCCAATAAAAAAAAAGTGCTGTATTCTGACAGAATACGTCTACCTTAGCATTTGTCACTATGGCACCAAAGCCGTAGCTCCACTTTGCGTCGAGTATTTGAGATCTAAAAGTCATCGACTATTCATACATTTTTTGTTCAAAATCAAAAGTGTCGGCCAATAAAAAAAAGTGCTGTATTCTGACAGAATACGTCCGCCTTAGCATTTGTTACTATGGCACCAAAGCTGTAGCACCTCTGTGCGTCGAGTATTTGAGATCTAAAATTCATCGACGATTCATACATTTTTTGTTCAAAATCAAAAATGTCGGCCAATAAAAAAAGTGCTGTATTCTGACAGACTACGTCCGCCTTAGCATTTGTTACTATGACACCAAAGCTGTAGCACCACTGTGCGTCGTAGTATTTGAGATCAAAGTCAGTCGTTTCATATATTTTTAGAACTCAAATACTACGATGCACAGTGGTGCTACAGTTTTGGTGCCATAGTAATAACTGCTAAGGCGGATGTATTCTATCAGAATACAGCACTTTTATTTTTTGGCCGGCACTTTTGATTTTGGACCAAAATGGATGATGTCCTTTAAGACAAAGATCTCTTTATCGTTTAAGTAATCCTTTATTTTATAGTATTTGATATGAATTTCAACTTGATAGCTCTACGCGTTCATGAGGAAAAAAGTAATCCCAACTAATATTATAAATGCGAAAGTAACTCTGTCTGTCTGTCTGTCTGTCTGTTACGCTTTCCCGCTTAAACCTCGCAACCGATTTTGATGAAATTTGGCATAGAGATAGTTTGAGTCCCGGGAAAGAACATAGGATAGTTTTTATCCCGGTTTTTGAAACAGGGACGCGCGCGATAAAGTTTTTCTGTGACAGACAAAATTCCACGCGGGCGAAGCCGCGGGCGGAAAGCTAGTAAGTTTATATTTATTAAAAAATATATATTTTGTAATGTAACTAAAAATTTAAGGTTTTCGGAATTTTTCCTTTATGTGTGCTATAAAACGTTGCTTCATGCCAAATTTCAAGATTCTAGGTCGACTGGAAGTACCCTTTAGGTTTTGATTCCCTTGCGAGTACTTGCGAGTTTCAAAATATGCAGCTTAAATTGCTGTTTCTTTTGATTGCGTTGACATAGAAGTTTGATTTTGTTACAGCTTAAAGGTATTATAGACCTGAGTATTTGGTATAAATTTCAATTTAATACCTCTACGCGTTTATGAGGAAATGGGTAGTAAGTTTAAAATTATTAAAAAAATATATATTATGTGATGTAACTAAAAATTTATGGTTTTCGTAATTTTTCCTTTATCTATGCTATAAGACGTTGCTTCGTACCAAATTTCAAGATTCTGAGTTCACGGGAAGCACCCTGTAGGTTTTGATTCCCTTGCAAGTGTCGAAAATTTGCGGCATAAACGGCTGTATCTTTTGATTGCGTTGGCTTAGAAGTTTGATTTTTTCACAGCTTCAAGGGACAGTGTACCTGAGTATATGATATAAATTTCAGCTTCATACCTCCACACGTTCCTGAGAAAAAGGGTCTTGTAAATTTCAGCTTCATACCTCCACACGTTCCTGAGAAAAAGGGTCTTGACAGACGGACGGACGGACGGACGGACGGACAGACGGACAACAAAGTGATCCTATAAGGGTTCTGTTTTTTCCTTTTGAGGTACGGAACCCTAAAAACATAATATTATAGGCTATAATTTTTGACGATTGTGATAAACTAAATTTCATGCGGGTGAAGCCGCGGGCAAAAGCTAGAATAAAACAGAATGTGAGTCTTGATAAAGTGCACATAGTAATATGAAAATGGATAAAACTAGTTAGCCTTATACCAATTTAGTGCCATAATTTGTTTTGTATTTTATTTTTATTTATTNTATCTACACTAATATTATAAAGAGGAAAACTTTGTTTGTTTGTTTGTTTGTTTGTTTGTTTGTTTGTTTGTTTGTTTAGTTGTAATGGATAGGCTCAAAAACTACTGGACCGATTTTAAAAATTCTTTCACCATTCGAAAGCTACATAACTCACGAGTAACATAGGCTAAATTTTATTTTGGAAAAAAATAGGGTCCCGTAAAATAATTAGGATTTTCATAAGACGTGGAAAAGCGCCATCTATCGTCATTGGTTAAAATCTTCTTGCGCCTGACAAACATTTTTGAGGTACGTAAATGTTCATGAAGGCAAAGCTGTCAAACGCCATCTATCGACATCATTAGTAAATAAGTAACTAAATATTACATGTACTATGAATAGCGCTGTTCATGTCATGCTGTCATGCCGTAAATAATATTGAACATTTAATAAATAAAGATATTTTATGTAATTGAACCATTCACTGTATGTACCTTTTTGAATCATTCACTGTGTTTAAACGAGCAAATCAAAGTGTTAATTAGTGACTTTTTACAACTTCCTTGCAAATTCTTACTATGTGCCGCCATCTACCGAGATGAATATTAGGGTACGGTTCAGCGGCGGACAAATGGGATGGGCGCGTGGGCGATTGTAGTTAAATAGGATAAGAATTACTTCGTTTTTATTTTCTGTATGTAATTTGTAAATTTTTTGATAGGGTCTTTATTTTAATTACTTAGGTTGGTAGGTACTCATTTATTTGATTTTAATGATAATTACTATAGGTACGTATAATTTTAGTAGAAAGAAAGGTCATTGAATGACTAAGTGACTCACTCACTCATCACGAAGTCTCGGAAACTACAAGTCTCAAAAGAGTTCTCATAGGGGTTAATGGTCTATCTATTCCACTTTGATCACCTGGCTTTGATCACCAAGATGATCAAAGTGGACTCCAGTTAAATGATTTTGTTAGTGTTCTTTGATCACCTATAAATAAATCATACCTCTGAATTGTCACATAGGTACATGTCCAATTTGTTTATTGCGGTTTTTAGAAAATATCAAAAATGTTACAAAACAAAATATTATGTAGTACAACAATTGGACATGTGACTATTCAGAGGAGGTGTGATTTGTTTGTAGATGATCAAAAGACACTAAAATAATAATTTAACTAGAGTCTACTTGGCTCACCCAGGACATCGTATCCGTGGGTGATCAAAGGCACAGAACAAATTCAAAGGACACTAATTGTCGCTGTAAGTCCACTTTCACGCTGTAAGTCCACTGGCTTTGATCAGCCAGGTGATCAAAGTGGAATATAGGTACCTCCTTTTAGAACGTAGGTAGTCACTAAGACGAAATTTTGCAAAATTCAACCCTTATGGGAGTTAAAAAGGGGGTTAGAAGTTTGTATTGTAGTCCTCGGTTTTTAAAGTAAGAGACTTGAAAGTTAAAATGTATGCTAACTATGATCTCTAGATATTGTGGAGGTGTACATATACTGTTCGGTACACTTTGGTACTGTGTACACATCGGTTTGCCGACGATTGTGGTCATGCCAGAATCGTTGGAAGATCTTGACACAATGCTCGAAGACCTTAATCGATTTTCCCAACAGGGCCTACCTGTTGGGAAAATCGATTAAGGTCTTCGAGCATCTTGAGGATGAACATGGACAAAACGAAGCTTATGTCGAATGTCCATGTTACGCCCTACCCAGTTTCAGTTGGGAGCTCAATTCTCGAGATTGTCGACAAGTAGGTATGTCTACCTCGGACAAACGATCCAGCTAGGTAGGTCCAATTTCGAGAAGGAGGTCAATCGTCGAATCCAACTCGGCTGGGCAGCGTTCGGGAAACTACGCAACATCTTTTCGTCCAAAATACCTCAATGCCTGAAGACTAGAGTGTATAACCAATGCCAATGTGTGTTACCAGTGATAACTTATGGCTCGGAAACGTGGCCTCTCGCTATAGGCCTTATACAGAAGCTCAGTTGCACAGCGTGCTATGGAGAGGGCTATGCTTGGTGTTTCTTTGCAAGATCGAATCAGAAATGAGGAGATCCGTAAACGAACCAAAGTCGATGACATAGCCCGACGGATTAGCAAGCTGAAGTGGCAATGGGCGGGGCACATAGTACGCAGAACTGATGGCCGATGGCGCAGAATGGTTCTGGAATGGAGGCCGCGTACCGGAAAACGTAGCGTGGGACTTCCACCTACAAGGTGGACCGACGACATCGTAAAGGGAAGCGCTGGACGCAGGCAGCTTCCAATCGATCAACATGGAAAGCATTGGGGGAGGCCTATGTTCAGCAGTGGACGTCCTATGGTAGCTCGATTGATGGTTTCATTTAATTTATTTAAACCAGGTTACCTATAATAATATTTTTTCGTTAATTTAGGAAAATATCAAATTAGCCCGTAATCCTGAATCCTGATACATAAAGTTAGCCTATTAATTTAACACAGGTACGACTGTACTCAGTGTTGCACTATCAAATGCAATTGACGCGCCTCTATGCCAGGGTTTTTATGTTCCTGGTCAGGCTATAGTGCCCTTATTTAATTTCTACTCTCCATTAAATTGGGCTGAAAAAGTTAAAATGAAAGGCATTTTAAGATTCCACATAGCAATAATATTATGTGGCATGGAAATTCATGGAATGGAATGTAAAATTGCTAAACATATTAAATAATTTCCTGCAATGGAACACGCCAAACAATGGGAGGTTGTTAAATGTCAAAGTCAGTCAGCCAGTTTTTTATTTAAAAACAAGGTCTGCGCGGCGTTGTCGAACGTTTCCCCAAGCTGTCGCAGCAGGATCGTAATGAATTTAATCTAATTACTGCGTGCGTCCCCGAGCGCAGCGCCAGCGAGCCGCAGTGCACGTCCCCAGCTAGCGAGCAGCGCATCAGGTGGGTTTGTTTACGTGCACGCCGCCATGTGATCCTCGACTACTGCGTCTCGGCCTTCGACGCGTCGCCGCCGCTCGATCGAGGCGCGGCCACGTGCTTTCTAGTGTAATCCAGTTAGTCGTTCGTCGGAACTCGCGGTGTAGTCGCGAAGAGCGCAGCGGCAGCGCTCGTCGCTCGCTGATTAGTGTCGTGGCGTGCGGTGGCGGAGCAGAGTTGACCTGTAGCGTGGTCTGTGCAGGTTGGAGCCGACGGAGCGCGAGCCGCGGCCGGGAAGCCACGACATGAAGCCTCAGGACGACTACAGGAACGGCGACGGTGAGTCCTTGTAACTTTGTTGCAGTCCTTCGCCTCTTAAACGTTCTTACATCACAGATTCAGGGTCAATGTCGGCTTCCTTCCTAGTTTGCTTGTCAAATGTAATTGGTTTACTTTAACTACTTATAGTCGATGAAGTAGGTTTTTTTAATTCACTTTAAATAATGTCAATGTCATTGACTACAGTAGGTATTTTTTGTATATTGCAAAAACAAACTTGGTTTTCTCATTGCAGAGCACAGTATTGTGATTTCACAAATTATATCTACTTGTAGTTGACTGACTAAACAAGATTTGGTTGTCCGTGAGCAGTTCAATGTGGAGTCAATTGAATCAATTGGCTGCCAGAACTCCAATGACCATAACAATACCTAGTTGCAATTGCCCACTGTGATTAATGTCTCGGCATTTTTAGCAGTTTATTTTTCTTAACAGTATGCATCTACATTGTTTCACTTTTAATATTATCCATATTTTCATAACATCATTTTAATTTATTATATGTAATGTGGCAAGGGCAATTACCAGATAGTTTAAAGAGCTTACTGTTATCAACTGATATAGTGCCTGGAACAGTGTAGTAGATAACCAGCAGTACATCAACACAGCTAAATTATACTGCCAAGCGCCTACCTTTAACCACAGAAGAAGTACTATGTACTTATGTGCTTTTGAGGCTGCTTTATTCTTTACCTCATAATCTTGACTCTTTTTTTATTTACTTTTTTATTTCTATTCTAAACTTGTTTACAACACAACAGGTGTTTGCATGTCAGGCCTAAATCATATGTTATTGACTAGTAAACATTCTATGATTGTACATTTTATTGGACTTAAATCACAATGCTGGAGCTGGTTTAGGGAAAATAATGAAGTAGTGTGATAACTCAAGGAAAATGTGTTTTGAAGAGCAAGTGGTGATTTATTTATTTGGTACACCAACAAGGTCACATACATAATACAGTTCATACATTTTAACATGGTTTAACACATCTGTGATCTGGAGGTACTCTCTTTATTGACTCATCATAACTAAAAAGCTTGTAAACAATAAACAGTAGACTTAGGCTGGGTTGCACCATCTAACTTTAACTTTGACAAACGTCAAAAATCTGTCAAACTCCATACAAAAAATACTGGTAATTGTTATAGTTACGGTCAAAGTTAGGTGGTGCAACTCAGCCTTATAGTTAGTTGAATTGGCTGGAACTTCACTTCAAGTACTCATTCACAAGCATAATGCAATTAGATTATAGGGAGCTTCAATTGTTATATTAGTTTCTGTTTGTTTGTTACCAAATTACTATTATTGTATCGAATTACATATTAGAACTCATTTATAGCCTGACCAGGAACATAAAAACCCTGGCATAGAGGCGCGTCAATTGCATTTGATAGTGCAACACTGAGTACAGTCGTACCTGTGTTAAATTAATAGGCTAACTTTATGTATCAGGATTCAGGATTACGGGCTGATTTGATATTTTCATAAATTAATGAAATACTATTATTATAGGTAATCTGGTTTAAATAAATTCAATGAAACCATCAATCGAGCTAGTAGGATTTATTTTATTATTCATCAATATCAAATTCAGAACTTGAATATTCGACTGCAATGTCTGCTCATGAACGCTTCAAACTCGGCACTTCTTTCCCAATTCCATAAAATTCAACACTTAGAAAGTGACAATTTTTTTTAAAATAGGTAGTTGAAACAAACCACACATCATTTTCATAGTGGACTGTACTATACGATAAACATGTCAGTCAATTTGACAACCTTTGTCGGAAACATTATTCAATGAAAATATTATCCGAACCATTAGTATTTCTCTTCGACAAATACTTTAACACATTGTGAACCACTTTTCTTTTACGACTATAAAAAGATTTTAGCAATTTAATTCACGAAATCAATTGCGCACATTTAAAATAAAGTTTGTTTACACTTTGACAGCAATAGACTGACATGCAAGGTGACATGTGAATGAAGTTTTCAGTTACTGTTGCCATTAAAAGAAATTAGTACCATTAGTTTTCCGCAACATGGCGAGGGTTTTTATGTTCCTGGTCAGGCTTTACATTATCACATTGTGAAAAATCTTGTGATGCAATATTGATTTATGGTTGCTGAGTATTTTTTTCTAACGGGTAAACTGTCAGCGTACCCTACACAGTCAGCGTGTCATTGTGTTCGTGTGTCGGGCGCAGACGGCGGCGGCTGCGGCAGCGCGTCGGGCTCGGAGGACAGCTCGGGCGCGGAGGGCGCGGACGAGCTGTCGCTGCGGGACGCGGCGGCGCCGGCGCGCGCGCTGCTGGCGCTCAACGCGCTGCGCAAGTCGCGCCAGCACTACGACGCCGTGCTCGTGGCCGACGGCGCCGAGGTGCCGGCGCACCGCGCGCTGCTGGCCGCCGCCTCGCCCTACCTGCTCGAGGCCTTCCAGGCGCCGCCGCCCGCCGGGCCCGCGCCCGCCGCGCTGCGCGTCGAGGGCGTCGACGCCGAGGCGCTGCGCACGCTCGTGGAGTACGCCTACACCGGCCGCGCGCGCGTGCGCGAGCCCGCCGCCGCGCGCCGCCTCTACCGCGCCGCCTGGCGCCTGCGCGTCGAGCCCGTGCGCGCGCACCTGGCCAGCCGCCTGGCGCGCCGGCCCGCGCCCGCCGACGCGCTGCTCACGCGCGCGCTGCCCGACCTCGAGCCGCACCTGCTGCGCGACCTCGACGCCTACATCGCCGACCACGTGAGTCCGCCGTCCGACGCTCCGGCCGCACCGGCGTCGCAACGGAACCCGACCTGACCCGCGTTCCTTCGCCCGCAGTTCGACGAGATCTGCGCGAGCGGCGCGCTGGCCGCGCTGCCCAAGATCAACATCGAGATGCTGCGCGAGAGCAGCGCCGAGGGCGGCGAGGAGACGGCGCCGGCGGTGGCGGCCGCCGCGCTCACGTGGCTGCGCGAGCGCCAGGCCGCCGACCTCGACGTATGTAGCCCCGGCCCGGTGCGTGTGAGGCGGCGACGTGTGACCTGGTACCAATGAGCCGTGTTTCCGCAGCTGGAGGAGCTGTGCTCGCGCACGCACCTGCTGTTCGTGGACGCGCGCGGCGCGCTGCGCGACTGCGGCGAGTTGCCGGCGTCGAGCGGCGAGGCGCCGGCGCTGGGCGAGTACCGGCGCGAGGCGGCGGAGCGCGCGCGCGGCGGGCGGAGGTGAAGGCGCCGGTGGCTGCGTCGACTGCGCTGGGCGCGCGCGTGGCGCGTGCGGGCGGCGCGGCGGAGTNTGCGTCGACTGCGCTGGGCGCGCGCGTGGCGCGTGCGGGCGGCGCGGCGGAGTGCAGCGTGGTGGCGGCGCGCACGGCGGGCGGCGGGTGCACGCGCGCGCTGGTAGCACTACGCGGCCGGCTGGCGGCGGCGCGCATCTCGTGGCGCGCGGCCGGCGGCGACATCACGCGAGGCGGCGTGCTCGGTGAGTGCCGATTTCCCTGTAGCCGTTGGTTGTGGCCTCTGAGGCCACCGTCTACGTATCTAACGCATTCACAAACATTACTATGAGGTCTCACAGTGCGCGTGGACGCATAGGGTGACACACGAACCAATCACAGAGCTCTATTCAACGCTGTGCGTTCGATTTTCTGTTTCACTTAAGCAAACATCGTTTGTGAATACGGACGTAAGACTCGATTGAAAAGATGTAGTTAGAATAAAAAGTTGAAACTTTTTCCAAATCTTTAACTGGAAGTAGGAGGCTGTGACCGATTTGTGTCAATCATGCTCATTGTTAGTGACGCACGCGGTGTATCTTATTGTTTTCGGTTGAGTGACTCTGAACTTGACATGAATTTGGCGGTCATTCAAACGAACCCGGCCGGTTCAACAACAGCTCGTTTATTCAGTAGAGGTCCAGAACGTACTGTTGAGCTACGATTTATACGTTACAAAATACATTGACCACTCACGTGGTCGGTACCGTAGATTCCAGGCGTATTATTTTATTAATATGTAAATAATATCACTTGAGATCCTATATTCAGTTACCGTAATATTGAAGTTTTTTTTGTTTAATAATAGGTCGTCAATATCTTAACGTAGTGGTTCCAAAAGAGAAACCACTCGACGCGCACATTTGATCTATCATTATGACGCAGCCACCGTCGGTCAAGGTGTCTAATCTATCATTCTTAATCTTATCACTACACCGAGACCGAACGTAACGTGACGCACTCGTGTATTTCGAAAGCGAGACAAAGAAAGACGTTCGGGTTTGAGGTCGCGTGTGCGGTCCGCAGGCGGCGCGCGCGAGCCCTCGGGCGGCGACCGGCTGGCGGCGCTGTCGCGGGCGCGGTGCGCGCTGGGCGCGGCGGCGCTGGGCGGGCGGCTGGTGGCGTGCGGCGGCTACGACCGCGCGCGCGTGCTGCGCGCCGCCGAGGCCTACGACCCCGCCACCAACACGTGGGCGCCGCTGCCCGACCTGCGCGGGCCGCGCGCGCGCTTCCCGGCCGCGCGCCTCGGCGACGCGCTGTTCGCGCTCGGCGGCAGCGACGGCCACGCCGACCTCGACTCCGTGCACGCGCTGGCCGCCGGCGCCTGGACCGTGCGCGCGCGCCTGCCGCTGGCCCGCACGCACGCCGCCGCCGCCGCCGACGATGCGCGCCGCCGGCTCTACGTCATCGGCGGCTGGGCCGGCGGGCTCAGCCTGCGCCGCGTCGACTGCTACGACCCCGACGCCGACGCCTGGTCTGACGCTCCACCCTTGATCACTGGTTCGTATTTTTCAAAGAAGAACGGTCATCTGTGACCCAGACCCAACAGAAACGAGACATACCTCAGTTTTTTTGTCATGTCTTAATTAGTTAAATTGTATATTTTTTATATTCGAAATCTATGTATAACACCAAAATATTACCCTTTGTTTTTGTTCAGGCTTTATACAAAAACATACAAAATGCCTATTTTATCACCAAAATTCACTTGTTTAATTTTGCTAATATCATCTCTTCGATGCGCGCAGGGCGGTCGCAGTGCGCGGGCGTGTACTGGGCCGGCGCGCTGTGGGCGCTGGGCGGCTGCGACGCGTGGCACTGCCTCGCCTCCACCGAGACGCTCTCGCTGGACGCGCCCAACGCCGTCTGGACGCCGGGTCGGTGCCGCTTTTGATCTACACTCGACAGCGAATAAATCGCACCACCCGCGACAAGCACTTGCAAACGTATGCATCCCCACTTCACACCAATATTGGTACCATTCAAAAGCCTAGTTCTAAACTTCATTTCATTATAGGAAAGGTTTTTACCCCAAAAATGTTTCTTTACAAGGATCCAGAGTCACTTCTTCAAAAAATAGATAGTTACGCTTGAGCCAACTTTTATGGCTATAAAACTGTTAAGTTGGGATTAATCGCTATCCATCTGTTAAAGAGGACACGTGTGATCATCATTTGGTTTTATAACCATAGGTCTAATTGATCCCAGAGGTGAGCCCAAAATGAGGTCTTTTTTCAAGTCACATTTATGGTATTTGTTAATCATTTATTAAGAAATTAAATGTGTTTTTCTTTAAGGATATTTATTGGGCTTTAAAATAACACCAATATTGTTGGGGCACCATTATTGTGTCAAAAGAAAATCTTTAAAGTTCGCGTCGCGTGTGGTGCGATTTATTTGCTGTCGAGTGTATATTATGTAGTGGAATAAGGTCGCGGGGAGTGAGCGGTAGTGACGTGCTTGGTGCGCACTGTGCAGGGCCGGCGCTGCCGACGGCGCGGCGCTCGGTGGGCGGCGCGCAGTGGCGCGGGCGGCTGGTGTCGGCGGGCGGCTCCGACGGCGCCGCCTCGCTGCGCCGCACCGACTTCCTGCTGCCCGGTGAGACTCGTTCCTTCACAGCTGCACGACTGCATCCGAGCGCGTGTCGGTGACCTGTTCACTTGCGGCCAGGGTGGAAAAAATCATGATTTTTTTATTTTAATCAAAAAAATCGTGATTATTTTGATTTTTATTACATTTTGCAATCATTGCCTTAGTTTTACATGCCGGAACAAGCCAAAAAAAGTAAATTGTGTAAGATGGTATGACATATTTTTACTGAAACAAGAAAAAAACTTTCGTCAATAACAGCTCGTATTAAGTGGTGTCCGTTTCCATTACAAATGAATACCTATCTTAATACAATTATCAATTTTATTATTTTTTTTCGCAAAAAGAAAATCTATGGAAAAATATTTTTTTACCAATTTTTCATACAAAACGGCTATTTCACACTTGAACACCTAAATCAACGTTGTTTTCGAACATTATAGTTGATTAATATGCACTCCCAGTGTTGCATTAATTCCGTTTTCGGATATTGATTTAAATCAGTGATTTTTATAAAAAAAATCATGCAATAAAAATCGTGATTTAAATCAACTCGATTTAAATCAAGCAACCCTGCTTGCGGCGCAGGCGCGGACGCGTGGTCGGCGGGCCCCTCGCTGCGGCGCGCGCGGGCGGCGCTGGGGCTGGCGGTGCTGGGCGGCGCGCTGTACGCGGTGGGCGGCTTCGACGGCAAGGAGTTCCTGGCCTGCGCGGAGACGCTGCGCGAGCCCGACGCCGAGTGGACCACGCTGTGGGCGCCGTCCGCGCCGCCCGCGGCCCTCGCGGCTCCCGACGAGCCCGGCGAGAACGGTACCGGCGACGGCGAGCCGGTGTACTGATAGCGGGGTGCAGGCGGCGACCCCGCGCTGCGATCGCCGGCTTTTACCGTGGTCCCCCCGACATGTCCCCCTGGTGGATCCACGGGTAATTTATTTTACCCGTTGTCCCACCGTTCTGAACGGTGTTTGCCAGTGGGTCTACGGGTAATTTATTTTAACCATGGTCCCACCGCACTGAGTGGCAAACGTTGCATGTCACCTATGTCTGGGATGAAATATCAAACGCCGAGTAGGATATGAGTGACTTTAACTCACATGTGTGATGTGAAGATAGTATAAAGATATTATGGTGCCGTACCTACCTATAATTATTTTCTATATTAATTACTAGCGGCCGCCCGCGACTTCGTACGCGTGGACCTCGTTTTACTCCATTAGGGGTGGAGTTTCGTAAAATCCGCTCTTAGCATCTATAGCGCATACATTTTAAATTTCAACTCTCTTACTTTAAACACATAGGACTTTCATAATATAAACTTCCAACCCTCCTTTTATCTCCTTAGCCCCCGTAGTTGATTTCTAATGATACATTTTCAGTATATGTACCACCACCACCACCACCATTTCAGCCATAGGACGTCCACTGCTGAACATAGGCCTCCCCCAATGCTTTCCATGTTGATCGATTGGAAGCTATCTTGGACTTGTCATGCTCACTAAAATGTCTCTGGGGTAGTGGCGTGTGAGGCGGGTCGTTACATTCCCTATAATATGGTCGAGTGAAGCGATGGCTGGTTCACACGTCATGTCTGTGAACAGGCGCTGCCTTCGGGGACTGGTCAAGGAAAGATATACCTGACATAAAATATATATGTATCAAAACGCAACAATTAACCTAGAAATTAGCACGGCACTAAATAAATATATTCAAAACTGCCACGCGGTCTCGTGCTAGATGGGCGTCTTAAAGGCCACCTTCTATCAACGGGAGCGCGTGGTAAGTAACTTGCTTCTGAATGTATTGTAACTTCCTACTTTTTTATATTTTTAAACCGGCAGACAGTGGTGACTGAGTTTGTTGCGGCGCTTCTTCTCAGCACTCGCCAAATGTTTGTCTCGAAGCGCCGGTAGGGCAAAAAAAGAATGAGACATGTATAGGCTCCTTAAGAGCATTTGACGATTTGCAAGAACTAATTTAATTAGTCTAAACAAATAAAGAAAATTTTGATTTTGATTTTACTTCCGAGCGCGTGTCGTTGACCTGTTCACTTGTGGCGCAGGCGCGGACGCGTGGTCGGCGGGCCCCTCGCTGCGGCGCGCGCGGGCGGCGCTGGGGCTGGCGGTGCTGGGCGGCGCGCTGTACGCGGTGGGCGGCTTCGACGGCAAGGAGTTCCTGGCCTGCGCGGAGACGCTGCGCGAGCCCGACGCCGAGTGGACCACGCTGTGGGCGCCGTCCGCGCCGCCCGCGGCCCTCGCGGCTCCCGACGAGCCCGGCGAGAACGGTACCGGCGACGGCGAGCCGGTGTACTGATAGCGGGGTGCAGGCGGCGACCCCGCGCTGCGATCGCCGGCTTTTACCCGTGGTCCCCCCGACATGTCCCCCTGGTGGATCCACGGGTAATTTATTTTACCCGTTGTCCCACCGTTCTGAACAGTGTTTGCCAGTGGGTCTACGGGTAATTTATTTTAACCATGGTCCCACCGCACTGAGTGGCAAACGTTGCATGTCACCTATGTCTGGGATGAAATATCAAACGCCGAGTAGGATATGAGTGACTTTAACCCACATGTGTGATGTGAAGATAGTATAAAGATATTATGGTGCCGTACCTACCTAAAATTATTTTTTATATTAATTATAGATTTTTTTATAATATTATAGATACCCAGGCTAGGTGACAAGCAATGTTTGCCACTTAGTGCGGTGGGACCATAGTTAAAATAAATTACCCGTGGACCCACCAGGGGGACATGTTGGGGGGACCACGGGTAAAAGCCGGCGATCGGACGCTGCGGAGGCGGGTATGTCCCGGCGCGACGTTCCGGTCGCGGGCGGCGCGCGTGGAAGCGTCCCGTTGCGAGGGCGCAGCTTCCTTTCGTACCGGAGCGCGTGTGACACGCTGTCTGAAGTTTCTATTTCTTTACTTATTGTTTGACTGAGCAGACTTCAAGTTGCAGTAACCGTTAGGTTGATAAAATGAGAGTATTCTATTGAATCATGTAACAAAAAAAACCATGAAAATTGTCTTCGATATGGATTACTTTTGCGATAATTGATCATTAGATAATTTGGACAGCGTAATGTGTATTGGGTCACTACGAATTAAGATTAATGTCTAACTAATCTGTAAAGTCACGCGAGCGCACGTCGCAATTTCTATTGATATACATACTTCGCTACGATAGGCTACGGAATATATGTAAGAAGTGAGCACCGTCATCAATAAATTATATTAGTGAGGTTTTGGGTGTTATCGTGTAATATTCAAGTGTACAAATAATCTTTGTTATAAAATAACATCGTATTTTGTAGTAATTTTGAAATATTTTGTGTACGATCAGCGTGTGTAAGAGATACTTTATAAAATGCCGTTATTGGTTGGTTAACAAATGTTTGTTCCTGTACCGGCGCTCGCTCGCCGTGCCCGAGCACGCGCCGCCCGGGCCTCGTCCCGTGGCCTGGCAGGCACCCGCGTCACNGCCCCGTAGCCTGGCAGGCACCCGTGTCACGGCCTGGCAGTCACCCGCGTTGTGGCCTGGCAGGCCGAGGCCCGACGCGCGGCGCGACCCAGTGCCTTCGTTTGTTTCCGCGAACTTCACCGACAAAAGTTCTTAGGGACGGTTTCATTGTGATATTTAGAGTAATTATGTTCGTTCGCCGCGCCGCTGTCGTCGGCCGTCGACGTTACCCTGGTTCCGAGATTTCGTCTATCGGGACTTTGTTCCTTTGACCACGAAACATATTACATTTGATTTTTACATGGCGAGGACACTATGAATAAATATTTGAATAGACGGGATCTCTGAATCGGGTTCACCTTTTGACTATGAAATGTGTTTCGAGACGTTTACCCGCTGTGCGAGCGCTGACCGAAGCCCCGGGACTAAGTTTTATATGTATAGTTTAGTCGTGCGGTGAGATGGTTAAAGTAATTAGATATTGTGACATCGCGGCGCCGCTCGTGTGCCATTGACCGAGAAAGCATAAAACAAACTTGTCATACACATGCGCGCTGTACGACTAGTGTCGAGCGGCGCCGCGACCCGCCTCGGCGGTCACAACTAGATTGTACGATTATTTTCTGTACTAGGTATTATAATTTGCGTCCTACGCTGTTACTTTATTTTTACTTTTAATTTGAAGACGCCCCGACCGCGCCAGATCTTCGGGCTTTTACTGTCCTGTTAACGTAATTTTAGAAAATTCTAATTTATTAACATAAAGTTATAAAACGGCGGTCTCCTCGTCTTCATCTAACCAAATGTTACGTAGGCGGTGATTCACTCCTTGCATGAACGAACCATGACTTTTACTCATTTAGATGTAGTTGTACAATCACTGAAACCTGTCATTTACCTACACAGTGGCCTTGCCGACAGTGAATTGGCTGTGACAATGAATACTAATTTTGCGTAAATTAGTATTNATCCCACAAGTATGTAGTAGCGACGTTACATGGAAACGAGGAGATCTCTGTGGAGCGGTAGCAATAAGATAAGTACCTACTTAGATTGTGGCGGGCGGCGCGGCGGGGCGCGCATAGTTAATATTTACACTAAAAGACATTTAGCAGAATGGTCGAGGTCTCCACACCTCACGTATTCATCGCCGTATAATGTGCACACAAAAGGAAATGAATTTTGTATACTTTTAAGGAGCTTAATGAAATTGCATTTAAGAAAAACATTCCCTTTACGATGCTTTTAATACAATGAATTTTATACGTTTTAAAATAAGCAACCCTTTGCATTTATACGATTTTAATATTGCGATATTGCACGATGTTGGTGTATTTTAAAATCAAACGGAAGTGAATGCGCGAGGTGTAGGGCGAGAGAGCTTGTATGTATTGTGTGCGTGTGTGAGTTCACTCGGAAGAAATCTTCGGATTGGTCCCCACCAACGAATCCAATAACGCAAATTATGATGAATACGCGGCGTTTTTATTGCGTCGATATTTTTGTGTTATGGATAGGGGTCCCCTCTTGCAGCCGTGAAAAAATAGGATTGTGATAAGGAGTGTCCAATTTTAGTATAATCCAGTCCATAGACAGATCGTATCTCTTGCCGTTGTCACAGGGTGTTTTTTACTAAATACTAATTTCATCTAAATTGCGATCAGTTTTTGGGTTGAATTATAGTAATTCATAAGGTCATCGCTCACGTGAAGTTCCATTATCTTATCAACATCGCCTTCACTAAATATAAACCGACCACGGGCGAGAACTGTTGCTGGTTCCAATTCTACAAAAAATAGCTATTTTCATCTTTGTAACGGGGCGATGTTAATCCGGTAATGGGGCATTCTATGCCGCGGCTTTGATCCGGTGGGTCCGACAGTACGCGATGTCAATGTCGTCTAAAACGAGAGTCGCGAAGATTTCTTCCGCGCGGAATGGCTGCGCTTGCCGCGATGTGCGTTACTACTGTCAGTATTCAGTATTGTTTATGTTTAACTCAATAAATATTCCATTTATTATTACAATCGTTGTTTCTTTTCACATTTCCTGGGGATTACGTTATTACATAATTTTAATTTGATTAAATTTGGTGGATTAGTATAAGCTGACAATGTATCATGTGATTTGTATTAATGACATGGGCGTCGTCGATCAATTAATCTAAATTACTTTCGCATTATTATTTTGTAACAAATAGGGCAACAGAGTTAGTAGTAAAGCCCGGGTTTCACCAAGGCGGAGCGGAGCGGAGAAATGTTTCGTATAATTAATCAGATTGAATGAACTTGACAGAATGAAATCTGATTGGTTATTTAAAACATTTCACCGCTCCGTCTCAGTGGAAACCAAGGCTTAAAAGGATACCAATTTTTGCTCCCAGTGATTTTAATACGATTTATTATCTCCCGTGAATATAAGTGGGATCATAACATTTTAACATCATATCGTCAGTATAAAATATTGACTAAATTCAATACAAATCACAAAGCAAACGCTAGGCTTTAATTCGTACTATCGTAATGCAACGTGCCGTTAGGTGTGCACGGCGGCGCGCTCCTCGAGCAGCAGCTTGGCGAGCGCGTGGCGGTCGCCCAGCTCCAGCTGCGCGAAGCCGGACGCGCTTTGCGCCCGCAGGCACGTCTCCGTGTCGGCGCCGGACGGCCCGGACGCGGCCCCGGACGGCCCGGACGCGGACAGGCGGCAGGGCGGCGGGCGGGGCGCGAGCACGAGCGCAGGGTCGGGCGCGCGCAGGCAGCGCAGCTCGGCGCCCGCCAGCACCTCCACCACCGGCGCTTCCGAGCTGCCCGACCACGCCGCCAGGGCTGGGAATAGTAACTTACATTGAANTTAGAGAATTGCAAACATTAGTTAGTCCTAAGAAAGTCAAAAACATGTAACGGAATCTCCGACTTACCACTTTAGTGGAGCGATTACAGAAAATAATGGCCAGAAAATAATGAAATTAAGTACATGTTTTTTTGTGTTATTATGAAAGTTCAGAAAACTGCGCAGTTTTTAAAATTATTTTGGACCTATGGAAGTTCTTTTTTTTTTTTACTTTTAAGTTGAAAATTTTAGGATGTTCCGCTAAAAGCATATTTTTTTATGTTTCTAGCAAAAATTTTGTATCTTGCATCAAAGATAGGAAGTTGATCATTTTTTTCAAAAATCTGCAATTAATAGGGAATCTGTCAAAAAAAAAGAAATCTGAGAAAAGTCGACCCTAAAAAAAGATAAAAAAAATTAAAGCCTGCTGGGTCATACAATTTGAAAAAATCACAAAATTAACGATAACTTCTAAACTATGAAAAATCGTAGAACATACATGGGGGTGAAATCGATAGGTCTAGTCCTCACCTGCCTTCGGCTTGACACCTTACAAGAAACACCCTGTATATTACGATTAAGATAAATCGCTATTGTTTAGTTAAGGGACATCTTTTATATTTTTTATATTTGCAACTACCCACATTGCATGCCGCGGCAGTAATTAAGATAGCACTTAGTTTTAAGCACTTTTAGTTATAGTAATTTCTATGCGTGTTTGTCTTGTTGGTTGCCTTATAATTAAAATTAAAATAAAATAACTTTCAAACTCGAATCGCCATACAGATCATCTTAAGTGAAAAAGAGAATACTGGAAACACGATTCGTAAAATTCGTTCTCACAGAAAGCTACACAACCTACTATTCCGATCGAACCTTAACTTCGAAGTCCTCTTATGTTATTCTAATTAATTTCGTTGCGGATCCAATGACAGACAACTTTCCCCCGGGATAAACTTGACCTTCACTGGTTGGGTTTTTATTGGCGGTCGAGCTGTAGATTCTGGCTACACAGGAGTTGTAGCGATGGGAACGAGAGGTGATAATCACGAACCTACTGTTCACACATAGATACCCGATATTCTTATCTTTAACTCTAGTCTAACAGACGGAATCTCATTGGATAAAGGATTTTAAAAATAAAATACGGAAGCTCACAGGGGATATTCCATAGCATTTGTTTAAAATTCGACCGATATATTTTTAGTTAATTGTCTTTTTGAACAGCTTTCCGGCGGCAGATTAACATTTGGCATGAGTTCAGAACGTCCGCGATCGTTCGTAGATTGTCCCAAATTAAAAGAAAACTAAACTGACAACGTTCAACTACGATTCATAAGGGCCAAAATATTGGTCAATACTGAATAAAATCCTGACCATACAGGAACGGTAACGGTTGGGAATAGTCCTGTGTAAAAACAAAAATACAATGGCCTACGTTAAAATGGAGAAGTTTCGTGATGTTGAAAATATAAATAAATATTAGATTTCACTTAATGGGATTAAAATCTGCTCGTTTGCCTCCTATCACATAAAAAAAAAACTAAAAAGCCGGTGAAGTTATTTTTGAAATCCATCTAGAATCGGCGAACTTAAACATAGGCGCTGGCCGTGACGTCAGGCCACCTGTTCATGTTTCAATCACAATCACAATTATGCTTACCACCCCTAACGCATTGTCGAGAATGACACTATAATGTCAAAGCGTTCTTTTTATTTAAGGTCAGGTCTTGAATATGTCAAAAAAGGTGACACAATTCGACTACGAAAGAATCTTGAGTGACCCTGGCTGAAAAAGTAAAAACTACTAGATTCTAAAAATAATTGGATCTGTAAACAGCACTAGACCAGGGGTGATTTACTGTTTGTACTCCGAATGACTTTTGTGATTGCACCGATCAAAATAGCGCTTCGCTCTGCCTCGGTGAAAACCGGGCCTAAGTCTGCAGGCACGAGACTGGCGATGGCCGAGTGATGGGCGGCGATGAGGAATAGTATTGCGATCACCGGGTGCCGCGCCGCCCCGCTGTCGCAATCGCAGTTCCGTGCCCGCAGACTTAGACAGGTGTCCCGGTATAGTGTTGTGCCCTCACCCGCGTCCCAGTCGCGGCGGTAGAAGGCGAGGACGGCGCCGCGCGTGAAGCGGCCGGTGTGGCGTGGCCGGCGCTAGTGTCCCGCGTCACTCACCCGCGTCCCAGTCGCGGCGGTAGAAGGCGAGGACGGCGCCGCGCGTGAAGCGGCCGGTGTGGCGTGGCCGGCGCTAGTGTCCCGCGTCACTCACCCGCGTCCCAGTCGCGGCGGTAGAAGGCGAGGACGGCGCCGCGCGTGAAGCGGCCGGTGTGGCGTGGCCGGCGCTAGTGTCCCGCGTCACTCACCCGCGTCCCAGTCGCGGCGGTAGAAGGCGAGGACGGCGCCGCGCGTGAAGCGGCCGGTGTGGCGTGGCCGGCGCTAGTGTCCCGCGTCACTCACCCGCGTCCCAGTCGCGGCGGTAGAAGGCGAGGACGGCGCCGCGCGTGAAGCGGCCGGTGTGGCGTGGCCGGCGCTAGTGTCCCGCGTCACTCACCCGCGTCCCAGTCGCGGCGGTAGAAGGCGAGGACGGCGCCTCGGGTCGCGAAGCGTCCGGTATGTTGCTGCGGGCGCGCGCCGCGCTCGTCGAGGAAGCGCGGGTGCGCGTACTGCGCGTAGCGCGCGAACGGCAGCGCCCAGTACCACTGCCAGCCCGCGATCGTGTTCATGCGGACCTGTTTCAAGACACAAATCACATTTAATCTAAAGCCTGGTCCGTGAGCACGTAGAATTTTGTCCAATGAACCCAAGCTACCTATCCTTGTCGCTCGCGCGTAATTATATTGCTGTCGCGACTGTGCGACGGGCGCCCGCAGTGAGTGTGCGAGCGCGACAGCAACATAATTACGCGCGAGCGATAAGGATGAGTAGCTTGGGGTCATTGGACAAAATTCTACATGCTCACGGACCAGGCTTTAGTCACTAGTAACGGCAAACAGTAATAAAATATATTCTCAAAATTCAAAGTAGTTGGTCCTTCGAGCCGGATTCATGAACTTACACTGAGTATCGGTTTTGTACGTATAAATGTGGAAATAGGTGCTAAAGTAGGTAGTATAATATGCGCGGTAAATACAATAAACTTACCCTGTTCAAGAAATCTTGATTAAATTCCATGTGCGGCACAGAGAGCAAAATCAGCGTGTCCTTCGACAGTCGCGGCAGCGCCATGCTCAACGCCACCTGCAATCACACAAACAAATTACAACCCGGTCGAGTTAACTGCGCACTTGGCGGCTGTGACGTTACATCGACGCTCTGGTGCGGACGGGGCAAACGTGAGGTGTAGGGTCATCCATTGGTCAGTGGTCCAATCATCAGTGGTGGTCAAGTCATTGGTCAGTGAGGTGTGCATTTAGCTTGATTGGTTTCTATTCTTCCGTAGACAAAGTTGGGATTGACGTTCTGCACTTGTCTCGATCCCGCATCAGTAATCTCCATTCTTAATTCTTTATTAATATTGTCATTTTTGAATTGACATTGACTTGTAACATTGCTGACATAAATTTCTTGACCTTTTAAATAATTTTGGTGGAATTGACATTTCGAATAACAATATACTGTATCATTTCTAATCTAAATGTAATAATATTTGAATAATTTGTGAATACGCCTTAACTTAAATTTGGAGCGTTTCTATTATTAAGCCATGTATCTGCTATTGTTTACCTAAATTCACATTCACAATAAAGTTCATTTTCATTTTTCATTTTCAGTCTGACATGTGTCACGCACCTTCTGCAGGCGCTGCGCCCACTCGTGGTCGGGCAGCGCGGCGGGCGCCAGCGCGGCGCCCACGGCCTGCAGCGAGGCGCCGCGGTGCCGCGCGCTTAACACGTCCAGCGCCGCGCGCGTCGCCTCCAGCGCCGACTCGTCCTCGCCCGGCGCGCGGATCACCACCTGCACAGACACGCAAACTGTACACTTACGCCCGTACCAGGCCTGTTCATCTCCGTGAGTTTACATCGAAAACAAAACACGCACGATGGCCCACCTACAGGATACTATTCGACAAGGCCTCACATACGAGCGAACGTTGACTCACGCACGCGTATCTTGTGTATGATGGAAGAAAATAAAGAAAATGGTGTACTAAATAATGTGCAGTATTTAACTGCCTAAATCAATCATAAAAACACAGAATGTACTTTTTTAAGTTGCCTCAAGACACTGAGAGGTAAATAAATAGTTAATATTATTCATGATAATTCATGCTAAATCATGTATTTCCTCCGCCATTTTCCGCAGTTTGGCACCTCACGTCACATCATTTTACCGAAGTCAGCCCTATAGCTTCGGCGCAGTGCCGATCACTGACGTTTGTCAACTAAATGGTGCTTGACTCTTGAGACAGGCTAAATTACACCATATTACTTATTATTATTCTGTGCCCGTATTCACAAACATTATTATGAGATCTTACAGCGCGCGTGGACGCACAGGGTGTCACATGAACCGATCACAGAGCTGTGCGTTCGATTCGCTGCTTCGCTTATGCAAGTATCGTTTGTGAATGCGGGCGTTAAATACATAAAAAATCATCCATTGCCTGTTATAACCTTCCAGAAAACTTGTTTATGTCGATTGCCAAATGCCAATAGATGGCGTTGTTCATTTATGCGCAAAAAGCTGGACATAAATAAAGTCAAGAATATACCAAAAGACAATGCCGGAAATTGGCGTCTTTTTTTTTTCACGCGGCCATCGACCAAACTTTGTTTTTTGATTACAAAATCCCAACTAATATTATAAATGCGAAAGTAACTCTGTCTGTCTGTCTGTCTGTCTGTTACGCTTTCCCGCTTAAACCTCGCAACCGATTTTGATGAAATTTGGCATAGAGATAGTTTGAGTCCCGGGAAAGAACATAGGATAGTTTTTATCCCGGTTTTTGAAACAGGGACGCGCGCGATAAAGTTTTTCTGTGACAGACAAAATTCCACGCGGGCGAAGCCGCGGGCGGAAAGCTAGTTTCTACATGCAAGGACAGAATGCGACTCACCGGCGCGGCCTGGGCGGGCTGCTTGGGCGGCGCGTGCAGCAGCAGCCGGTAGCGCAGCGCGTAGGGCGGCTCCCAGCGCCACGCGCCCTCCAGGAGACGCACGTCCTCCGCCTCGGGCCAGTCTACATGCAAGGACAGAATGCGACTCACCGGCGCGGCCTGGGCGGGCTGCTTGGGCGGCGCGTGCAGCAGCAGCCGGTAGCGCAGCGCGTAGGGCGGCTCCCAGCGCCACGCGCCCTCCAGGAGACGCACGTCCTCCGCCTCGGGCCAGTCTACATGCAAGGACAGAATGCGACTCACCGGCGCGGCCTGGGCGGGCTGCTTGGGCGGCGCGTGCAGCAGCAGCCGGTAGCGCAGCGCGTAGGGCGGCTCCCAGCGCCACGCGCCCTCCAGGAGACGCACGTCCTCCGCCTCGGGCCAGTCTACATGCAAGGACAGAATGCGACTCACCGGCGCGGCCTGGGCGGGCTGCTTGGGCGGCGCGTGCAGCAGCAGCCGGTAGCGCAGCGCGTAGGGCGGCTCCCAGCGCCACGCGCCCTCCAGGAGACGCACGTCCTNGCGCCGCCTCCGTGACGTAGGGCGCCGCCGCCTCCACGCTGCGGACGCTGCAGTGACTCACCACAACGAGCTGTGTGTTCTTGTCCTGCGCGAGACACACGGGCTCCAGGCGGCGCAGGAAGGCGGGCAGGTCGGGCTGCGCGCGCGCGTCCAGCGGCAGCAGCAGCGTGACGCGCGCCGCCTCCGTGACGTAGGGCGCCGCCGCCTCCACGCTGCGGACGCTGCAGTGACTCACCACAACGAGCTGTGTGTTCTTGTCCTGCGCGAGACACACGGGCTCCAGGCGGCGCAGGAAGGCGGGCAGGTCGGGCTGCGCGCGCGCGTCCAGCGGCAGCAGCAGCGTGACGCGCGCCGCCTCCGTGACGTAGGGCGCCGCCGCCTCCACGCTGCGGACGCTGCAGTGACTCACCACAACGAGCTGTGTGTTCTTGTCCTGCGCGAGACACACGGGCTCCAGGCGGCGCAGGAAGGCGGGCAGGTCGGGCTGCGCGCGCGCGTCCAGCGGCAGCAGCAGCGTGACGCGCGCCGCCTCCGTGACGTAGGGCGCCGCCGCCTCCACGCTGCGGACGCTGCAGTGACTCACCACAACGAGCTGTGTGTTCTTGTCCTGCGCGAGACACACGGGCTCCAGGCGGCGCAGGAAGGCGGGCAGGTCGGGCTGCGCGCGCGCGTCCAGCGGCAGCAGCAGCGTGACGCGCGCCGCCTCCGTGACGTAGGGCGCCGCCGCCTCCACGCTGCGGACGCTGCAGTGACTCACCACAACGAGCTGTGTGTTCTTGTCCTGCGCGAGACACACGGGCTCCAGGCGGCGCAGGAAGGCGGGCAGGTCGGGCTGCGCGCGCGCGTCCAGCGGCAGCAGCAGCGTGACGCGCGCCGCCTCCGTGACGTAGGGCGCCGCCGCCTCCACGCTGCGGACGCTGCAGTGACTCACCACAACGAGCTGTGTGTTCTTGTCCTGCGCGAGACACACGGGCTCCAGGCGGCGCAGGAAGGCGGGCAGGTCGGGCTGCGCGCGCGCGTCCAGCGGCAGCAGCAGCGTGACGCGCGCCGCCTCCGTGACGTAGGGCGCCGCCGCCTCCACGCTGCGGACGCTGCAGTGACTCACCACAACGAGCTGTGTGTTCTTGTCCTGCGCGAGACACACGGGCTCCAGGCGGCGCAGGAAGGCGGGCAGGTCGGGCTGCGCGCGCGCGTCCAGCGGCAGCAGCAGCGTGACGCGCGCCGCCTCCGTGACGTAGGGCGCCGCCGCCAGCCGCGCCGCGCCCAGACCGCGCACCACTTCCAAGCTGCGGATGCTCTGGGACAGGCAGGTGAAGGGTTAACAACACGCATGATGCTCATACGCATGATACTTAAGGCTTCCACAGACCAAACGCGGGGCAGTAGCAGCGCAGTTTGAATGCGAGCCCGCGCAAGTTGTAATACAAGAAACTCTTTGAAGTGTGTCACACCAAATTTGAGCGCGGGCCCGCGCTCCAACCGCGCCGCACTGCAACTGCCGAACGACAAACGAGGCGGCGCGGGTGCGAATTTGTGCTCTTTAAGAGCAAAGGCAGATACCACACGAACGCTGACGTGACGTTGCGTTGTGTTGTATCTCCGTCCTAACAACGCAACACACATTGTACAAGTCACAAAAACTTCACATAAAACCAATATTCCAGTGGCATGTCTCATTTATTCCGAAACAAAATTGACTAAATGTACTGGCCCTCAAAAAATTTACATATCGCGATTCAACCTTCACACAGCGCCATCTATCGGTAACTCAAAACACTACATAATAATATATGAAGCTTTTCATTGAACACCCCTCCCCACCTCTTCTCCCTGTCTCTTTGTACATTTCGTAGTTTTGTATGTAAAATAAACAGATCGTCGCTACAACGACGTAGCGCAACGTTATCTCTGAAGGCTTCCACAAACCAGACGCAGGTCAGAACGGCAGGGACGGTCGTCTAATCCTATTAACATAGTATTTTAAGATCATTTTTTTACTAACGAAATATGGACTGCGTTGTCTGATAATAAATATGTTTTATTTTTATTGCATTTATTTATTTAAATGCAAGGACAGAATGCGACTCACCGGCGCGGCCTGGGCGGGCTGCTTGGGCGGCGCGTGCAGCAGCAGCCGGTAGCGCAGCGCGTAGGGCGGCTCCCAGCGCCACGCGCCCTCCAGGAGACGCACGTCCTCCGCCTCGGGCCAGTCTACATGCAAGGACAGAATGCGACTCACCGGCGCGGCCTGGGCGGGCTGCTTGGGCGGCGCGTGCAGCAGCAGCCGGTAGCGCAGCGCGTAGGGCGGCTCCCAGCGCCACGCGCCCTCCAGGAGACGCACGTCCTCCGCCTCGGGCCAGTCTACATGCAAGGACAGAATGCGACTCACCGGCGCGGCCTGGGCGGGCTGCTTGGGCGGCGCGTGCAGCAGCAGCCGGTAGCGCAGCGCGTAGGGCGGCTCCCAGCGCCACGCGCCCTCCAGGAGACGCACGTCCTCCGCCTCGGGCCAGTCTACATGCAAGGACAGAATGCGACTCACCGGCGCGGCCTGGGCGGGCTGCTTGGGCGGCGCGTGCAGCAGCAGCCGGTAGCGCAGCGCGTAGGGCGGCTCCCAGCGCCACGCGCCCTCCAAAAGACGAACGTCCTCCGCTTCAGGCCAGCGGTTTAATGCCCACGCGCGCGCCGTGCGCAGTACCAGCTGGAAACGACATTTAATTAAAGCCTGGTCCGTGAGCACGTAGAATTTTGTCCAATGACCCCAAGCTACCCATCCTTATCGCTCGCGCGTAATTATATTGCTGTCGCGCCCGTTGCATAGTCGAGTCGTCATAAAACGTAGAATTTATTTATTTATTTATTAGGTACACCAACAAAGTCACATACATAATACAGTTCATACATTTTAACATGGTTTAACACATGATGCGTATATGACCTCAATTATAGGTATACACAGCATTTCTTTTTGCAATGTTAGGGAACTTATACACTAGAAAAAACAAAAATCAATTGAATAGGGCTTAAGCACCGAACCAATATAAAGGATTTAGTAATTGTTCATTTTGTTCGGTGCCTAAGTCCTGTAGAATGACCTAATCGTTGAATAAATGAGTCCCACCTTCGGAAGAGATCCGTAAACAAATTCAAATCGCTGAAGTAACAATGAGCAGGGCACATAGGACGCAAATCTGATCGCCGATGGGGCAGCGAGGTTCTGGAGTGGAGGCCACGTACCGGAAAGCGCAGCGTAGGACGTCCACCCACAAGTAGAAAGAAGGCGCTGGATGCAAGCCGCTACCGATAAATATGGAAATCATTGGGGGACGCCTTTGTCAACAGGACGTGCTATGATGCTGAATGCTGAAATGGTGATGATGATGAGTCACCTCTAGTGCTTCCTTGGTGGCGCCGGTGATGAGGCCAACAGCGCGGTGGTCGTCCGGCATGAACGCGTGCGACTCGTTGAACAGCGTCCAGCGCAGGTGGTCGAACCTGAATGGATAAAACGAATTTAAAATTAACTTTTTAGTTTTTTTTTGCAAATAGGCTTTTAAAAGGCACTTTTACACGTCCCAATATTAACCCTACCACCGCTTCGGGACAATAAATGGGCCAGTGCTGAGAAGAAGCAGCTCAAGAAACTCAGTCACTATTGTCAGCCTCCTTTTCAAGGGTTTACAGTCTTTAAAATATACAAATTATAGTCATAAGTATTGATGTGTGCTAGAACTGTAAAATGAAATCAATTTGTAAATGAAGATTTTGAACGATCTACATTTGGAGACTCGTTACATAGGCCGAGAAATTGATAGCTGTTGGGCTAGAATAATACAGCATGTACCATGGACTCGAAACGTAATGTAAGTGGATCTGAGCAGCGCATAACCGGTCGATGTAAAAGTGCTTTTTTAAAGTTTTATGAGTATTTATGATGTGGGAACTCTGGAAATCCTTGGAGAGGTCTTTCTTGTAAAGCCTGGTCCGTGAGCACGTAGAATCCCGTCCAATGATTTAGCTGTTGGGCTAGAATAATACAACATGTACCATGGACTCGAAACGTAATGTAAGTTGGCCTCTCACTGGATCTGAGCAGCGCATAACCGGTCGATGTGGAAACTGTGGAAATCCTTGGAGAGGTCTTTATTTTGTAGAGAACAATCAAGATTGAAATCTAGTTTTGCAAACTAAGTTTTTTGCAGCGGTGGGTGTTGGACACTGCAAGGCAGACTACAACCCAATTGATCTAACTGCGCACCTCGCTGGAATCTCCCTCCCAATTACCCGCACAGCTCCCCGTTTTCGCCCCGATTCGTACCAGAGCGTCGATGTGACGTGACAGCTACCAGCTTTTTTTTTGTCGGGAAATGCTTTGCGCATACCATAGGCTGATGGGGGCGGTCATGGATTATGTGGGACTCTCCCAGCCAAAAGGGCGGGACTAATACTCGACGGTGTTGAAACGGAGCCGCGAGTTATTATCTTAGAATTGGACATTAGCGAGCCCCTCCAGCTTCGAGGGAAATGGCGAATCCTCCTTCGAGTCATTCACTAGCAGCGCACTGGATACCAACGGTCGTGAGGCCCCTAACTGAGGAGGTGCGTGAAGGGCCCTGGTTCCTGGAGCCGCGCCACCTCGGGCACGGTAATAATATCATACAGTATTANTTTCAGTCAGTTTGATTTGAAATAAAAATTATATTGTATTAAACCAGCTTTTGCCCACGACTTCATCCGCCTGAAATTAAAGTAACCATTATGATTAGTAGATTTAAAATTATTTTAGCACATTTTTTTAAATTAAATCTACTAACATAAAACGACGCGCATTTTTATCCTATTCCATTCACAAAGTAATTTGTTTGTCTAAAAAAAATACAATCACAAAACTAGATAGAAATTCTAAGTAGACAGATGTAATTAGAATGGGTACTGTAGGTGAGCAGCCCTATCGCATGTTGTCATACCGTGACGTACCGCGGGGCTGTTGACATTTATTTCAAAAATATGGCCGAGTTGGAATACTGTATAGATAGTATTACCGTGCCTCGGGCCGGTCGCGCCCCGGGAGCACCCTGTATGTGTGACCTGGAGTCGGGCGGCGGCGCGGCGAGCCCGGGGTCGGCGCGCAGGCCGGCGGGCCAGGTGGCGTTGCGGTAGCCGCGCGGGTGGCGGGCGGCCGTGTGCACCAGCTGCGCCCGCAGTCGCGCCACTGAGGCTCGATCCCGCTCCAGGAACACCTGCCAAGAACACATCAATATGTATAAATAGATCATCCACGAAGACGCGCCCCACCAATTTTAAGTCGAGAAAAGCGCGGTGTGCCGGGAGTTTGATCCGAGTAATCTGAGCGTCATTATTGTAGTGTGTGTTCGGTTACTGTCCGCTCATTTAAAGAAGATGGTATATAGATGAATGAAAGTCACTGGTAGAAAATATAACTATATTGCGAATAATTAATATTACGCTAAAATGGTCGAATGGTAATGAGCACGCGCGATTGGTATGGTGATTCGACGTGTACTGAATATAAAACTAAAATTATGGTTAAAATGAAAAAGTAGGCCAATGCGCGAAAATGCTGACGGCGCGCCGAGGCGCCGTGTTTGTGCAATGTACGTAGACCGTACAGTGTGCGTGTGCTGATTACACTCAAACATTAGCGAAAGAATGGTGAGGCGCGTCTTCGTGGATGGCACGATCTATAACTTGCTAGACATTGCGTCTTCACGGCACGTACCTACTTGCTAGACATAATCAAAAAATATTGACACTGATTTCCATATTGCACTTCCTAAGTCTTGGCTTAAAATGTAGACATTTTCAGTGCCGTCTTGATCAGGGTAAATCTATATTGCGCCGCTTTGGTCCCAACTTACTATTCCTATGGGTACTCACAAGTGGCAGCGTTTGTTTCGTTTAGTAGATGACGTGAATCTCCATAACATTTCAGCCTTGTTATCTGGCGCCAAGAGCCATAGTTAATCTCACTGAACCTCAGTGCCAACACTATTATTGCAATGTCAAATTCAAATTATTTATTGCATGCCACATGGGTAAGAGTTGGTAGAACATAATTTTGTACATGTGACGCCGACGATGTGTAACAACCAGACAATTGTAGGCTTAATAAAGCTGCGTATTTCAATAATACGTATGTATGATTATCTTAATAAAGATTGTTCAACAGCCAAGTCACACAACATTAACAATAATAATAAAGAAATCGCAGTAAGAAACCTTAGACTTGGCACGACTTTGTCTAGATTTCATTACTTTTTAGAGATAAACAGGCAGCTCCATCGAGACTTGGCTAGTTTTTTACAGAATGTTTTTGGTGGGATAAATGTTGTTCTGTTCAAGCGACTCACCCTGGAGACGTAGGCGTGCAAGCGGTAGAACAAAGCGGGCTCGGACACCGGGTGGGTGGTGACCGCGTCCGCCAGCGCCGGCGTTAAAGAGCCGCCTTCCTCTAGCCGCGCCGACGAGTAACTCTCACCCTGCCACAGACCATGCGGATTAGTTTGATGATACATTATCACAGAACAGATTTGTAGGTTCATAGTCTTGGGGCTGATTGCAAAAACACACACAGCAAAAAAACAAAAGTTATAGTCTGGTCCGTGAGCACGTAGAATTCGCACACTCACTGCGGGTGCCAGTCGCACAGTCGCGACAGCAATATAATTACGCGCGAGCGATAAGGATGGGTAGCTAGAGGTCATTGGACAAAATTCTACGTGTTCACGGACCGGGCTTTAGATGATACGTGATTAGTACAATATACACATCATTGTCACAACTTTCTCTTTCTTGCCTCAAGTTTAGGGAAAATACAAACAAGGCAAAAGTAATCTCATGAGTCATTCTTCGTTTAAAAGTGTGATAATGTCACAATTTTACTCAGACTCCCTCCTACACTTAGTCGGGCGATAGTTGTGCACGATTCTAATTTGTATGAAGAATCGGTTGATGTAATGTCACTGTCATACATATCCATATTATCCGTACTGCTTAACATCCCGACCCAACTACCAGTCGACAAAGAATCTGTAGTCTGCATTGAAGCCGTAGATTTTTTTAATCAGCCCAGCGGCTTTATTCGAGATTTGATGTTGTTTATTCGGCTATTGGAGATATGTTGTGGAAGTTTTATATCGAAGAATATCGCATTCTTCAGCCGAAACAGGTAGTTGTGTAGCCAGATGGTTGCTATGACACTCAAGGCGTTGCTTGAACAGACAGAGGAATATGGAATCCATAGAATGGAATACTGGTAGGGCGCAAAAGATAAGGAGACATGTAAAGTGCCGCATAAGGGCTACCATTTTTTTCCTACTATCCTATCCTATCCTACTAATATTATAAATGCGAAAGTTTGGATGTCATGATGTCTGGCTGGATGTTTGTTACTCTTTCACGCAAAAACTACTGAACGGATTTTGAAGAAACTTTACAGTATTATTGTTTATGACCCAGATTAACATATAGGCTATAATTTATGACGATCTGTGACAAACTAAATTTCACGCGAGTGAAGCCGCGGGCAAAAGCTAGTTTACTATATTTTGACGTTCATAAGTGCCACCAGTGGTGTAAATTGAATAAAATATTTTTGATTTAGATTTGAATGGCTGGCGGCATTCTGAAAGGCGTTACCTGCAGCGCGGTCGTGCAGCGCTGGTGCGCGGCGTGCAGCACGCAGCGGCCGATGTTCTCGTGGTGGCGCGGCGAGTACGAGTTGCGCACGCACCAGTCCAGCTCGCCGTGCACCGCGCGTAGCACCGAGTTCGACAGCAGGATGCCACCCTCTGCAAACAAATAGAATAGAATAGAAAACTTTTTATTTGCAAGAAAGGTATACAAGCAAGCAAGACATAGATTCAAACAGAGAGAAATAACGAGTGGACAATTAACTGCTTGTGCCCCTCTAACAAAAAGGCACCCGCTCAGCGTACATCAAGACCGCCAGGGCTTGTCTTGAAACTGATTTTTAGCGGGGACCCTCTGTTGTCACGGCGTACCCCTGCTGACGGAGATATAACAAATAACATTACATTAGTACCCTCTACATACAATGAGTACCTAAGACCCTGTTCGCGCCACGCATGCAACCTCATTAGCGTCGCGCCACATCACTAGCGCCGGGTGCGCGTGCAGCATCGTTGCACTCAAAGAAAGAAATCTGCACAGAGCAGACAGCCATTTTTGCTTGTATTTTACAATTAGTGTCCGACCGAAACTAGTTNATCCAAAAGTTAGAGTTAGGGGTGTCGCGAATGTGCCGAACGGACGTCGATGGCCTAGCTAGTGTTGAAAATGACAAGGTGATAGAATTTGACTACCGTCATTTACGGTCAAATTTGTCAAAAACAAGCTATTAACAGTCAAAAATGGTCATTTTCAGTCAGTTTGATTTGAAATAAAAATTATATTGTATTAAACCAGCTTTTGCCCACGACTTCATCCGCCTGAATTTAAAGTAACCATTATGATTAGTACATTTAAAATTATTTTAGTACATTTTTTTAAATTAAATCTACTAACACAAAACGACGCGCATTTTTATCCTATTCCATTCACAAAGTATTTTGTTTGTCTAAAAAAAAATTACAATCACAAAACTAGATAGAAATTCTAAGTAGACAGATGTAATTAGAATGGGTACTGTAGGTGAGCAGCCCTATCGCATGTTGTCATACCGTGACGTACCGCGTACATTTATTTCAAAAATATGGCCGAGTTGGAATACTGTATAGATAGTAGGGTGGTCCTTATTTTTCGACTTTTGAATTCTCTCCGGGGCACTTTCTCATTCGATTATATACCTCTAAATATGAAATTAGCTTTTTTTGTTTTTTTTTTGGTTAAGATTTAGAGGTCGCTACCAGCTGTTAAAATATTTACAAAAAGCTTTGAAGATCTTAAATCATGGTTTCATAAATGTTTTATTTAAGTGTTTATATCACATTTTAGGTGCAAATGAACATCGCATAGATAGAATAGACAATCGCTTCTTGTCCCCTTCTCCCCTCAACCCCTCTTCTGTACCGACCATGGTACCGACGCGTCGAGATACTAACAAGTAAACTCTTATATCTTAAAAATAATTGATTCAAATATGTACATTGTACATAATATCTTAGTTCATAGCAACAACAATAATTTTGTAATATTTTTACTTGGCTTCGGCTAAAAATAAATGAATCTAACAAATAAAGATTTCGTGTTTTTACTTAAAATTCAAACCTTGGTAGCGACCCCTAAATGTCTTTTAAAAATTAAAAAAATAATAATGAAAGACTTTCATATGGTATATATTCAAATTACGTGGTGCCCCGCAAAATATAAGAAAAAAAAATTTTTTTGTAGGAATAAGGACCACCCTAATAGATAGTATTACCGTGCCTCGGGCCGGTCGCGCCCCGGGAGCACCCTGTATGTGTGACCTGGAGTCGGGCGGCGGCGCGGCGAGCCCGGGGTCGGCGCGCAGGCCGGCGGGCCAGGTGGCGTTGCGGTAGCCGCGCGGGTGGCGGGCGGCCGTGTGCACCAGCTGCGCCCGCAGCCGCGCCACTGAGGCCCGGTCGCGCTCCAGGAACACCTGCCAAGAACACATCTATATGTATAAATAGATCATCCACGAAGACGCGCTCCACCAATTTTTAGTCGGGAAAAGCGCGGTGTGCCGGGTATTTGATCCGAGTAATCTGAGCGTCATTATTGTAGTGTGCGTGTGCCGATAACACTCAAACATTAGCGGAAGAATGGTGAGACGCGTCTTCGTGGATGGTACGATCTATAAAAAGACTGGTCCGTGAGCACGTAGAATTTTGTCCAATGACCCCAAGCTACCCATCCTTATCGCTCGCGCGTAATTATGTTGCTATCGCGCTCGCACACTCACTGCGGGCGCCCGTCGCACTGCGGGGTCATTGGACAAAATTCTACATGCTCATGGACCAGGCTTTAGACATAATAAAAAAAAATTGAAACTGATTTCCATATTGCACTTCCTAAGTCTTGGCTTAAAATGTAGACATTTTCAGTGCCGTCTTGATCAGGGTAAATCTAGATTGCGCCGCTTTGGTCCCAACTTACTATTCCTATGGGTACTCACAATGGCAGAGTTAGTTTCGTTTAGTAAAGTACGGTCAACTAGCAGCGATACAAAAGGTCGATACGACTGTCGAGTTGACAATATATTCTGTCTCTTCCCATCTTGTGTATTTGTCGTAATGTCTCGTTCTCCCGCCAAAATATGGCAAAGTCAGACGGGTTCACCCATGATATTGGTATCGCTTCTCGTTGGCCGTACTTTAGATGAAGTAAATCTCCATAACATTTTAGCCTCGTTATCTGGCGCCAAGAGCCATCGTTAATCTCACTGAACCTCAGTTCTAACACTATTATTGCAATGTCACATTCAAATTATTTATTGCATGCCACATGGGTAAGAGTTGGTAGAACATAATTTTGTACATGTGACGCCCAGTGAAGGCGTTGCAAAAACTTAAAAATAACATCAGTCATCAGTCAATCGTCAGCCGTTTGGTGTAGTGGTTTGAAATGGACTACTATTCCAGAGGTTGCGGGTTCGATTCCCGCACAGTACAAACATTTGTGTGCATGAACATATTTGTTTGTATTGGACTGGGTGTTTTCTATGTATAATATGTATTTATTTACAAAAAAAAAGTATTTAAGTATGTTTATATCCGTTGTCTAGTACCCATAGACAAGCTTTGCTTAGTTTGGGACTAGAAACGCAGTGTAAAATGTCCAAGGATATATAAACATTTATCTAAAACTAGCTTTCCGCCCGCGGCTTCGCCCGCGTGGTTTGTTATTCCAAGTCTGATTCTTTTTTGTTATACCACGTTTTATAGTGACTGACGTTTCATGTCAAATCACACGGGAATGCTGTCGAACGGGATAAAAAGTATCCTATGTCCTTCTCCTGGCTCTAAACTACCTCCCTGACAATTTTCAGCTAAATCGGTTCAGCCGTTCTTGAGTTATAAGTGGAGTAACTAACACGACTTTCTTTTATATATATAGATATACAGGGTGGAAACGTTAAGTGATCTCACTCGATTATTTCTAAACTATACAAGATATTGAAAAACTGGTTACTGATGCTGAAAGTGCTTCATGAGCTCTTTCAAACAGTACCAATAATAGGTTACAGAATAAACTGGATCTATCTGAAAATTCAATGTTTCCAGCTTCCATACTAAATGTATGCCAGACACACATTATTAGAAGTGTAATTTTTTTTATTTATTAATAAACTCTTTAAATAAACACGTAAATTGTATTCTTATTTAAAATTATTCATGGAAAACATTGGTTTTAGGCTTTACTTGCTATAATATTGTCAAGAGATGAGTTGTCATGACTGTGGTAGTACTAAATGTCTGGAAGAAGGAAACATTGAATTTTTGGATGGATCCAGTTTATTCTGTAACCTATTATTGATACCATTGGATAGAGCTTGTGAAGCACTTTTAGAATCAGTAATCAGTTTTACGATATCATGTGTAGTTTTTAAAATTATGTGATTTTACCAAATGTATGGAAGCTGGTAACATTGAAATTTCGGATAGATCCAGTTAATTCTGTAACCTATTATTAATACCATTTGATAGAGCTTATGAAGCACTTTCAGGATCAGTAACTAGTTTATTGATATCTTGTATAGTTTAAAAATAATCGAGTGAGATCACTTATCGTTTCCACCCTGTATATAGATTAAATAAAATGAAATGAACATTAAAATTATCAAATTAAATATTATTGCTGTCGTTCTGTTCAAGCGACTTACCCTGGAGACGTAGGCGTGCAGGCGGTAGAACAAAGCGGGCTCGGACACCGGGTGGGTGGTAACCGCGTCCGCCAGCGCCGGCGTTAAAGCGCCGCCTTCCTCCAGCCGCGCCGACGAGTAGCTCTCACCCTGCCACAGACCATGCGGATTAGTTTGATGATACAATGTCATTATCACAGAACAGATTTGTTCAGTCTTGGAGCTGATTGCAAAAACACACACAGCAAAAAACAAAAGTTATAGTCTGGTCCGTGAGCACGTAGAATTCGCACACTCACTGTAGGTGCCAGTCGCACAGTCGCGACAGCAATATAATTACGCGCGAGCGATAAGGATGGGTAGCTAGAGGTCATTGGACAAAATTCTACGTGTTCACGGACCGGGCTTTAGATGATACATGGCCACTACTTTCCTAAATAAAATATTGTTAGCAGTCTCGCAACTGGTTCCTTCTAGTATAGACCCTCTGTTCTAACTATGATTGGCATACCTAGTATTGGTATGCAAGGCCTGAATTCTTATTATGTTGATATTACTCGTACAAATATACATATGTACTTACTTTTTGAAACTGCTTTGATTGTAACTCAGGGGTATAATGTGGTATGCAATGAATAATAGTTGTATAGACAACCATGTAAGAGGCGGTTGGACCTTAACAAAAATTTAATAGACACAGGAAATAAAAGCAAGATAGAAGAATACACACAGAAAGACACAGGAAATAATAAGGAAACATTGAGCAAATGATTAATCACACAGGAACATTATTTGATTGAAGCTGTGATAATTGCCATGGGCGTATCCAGGGCAGGAAGGGAGGGTAGCTGCTGCCCCCCCCCTGGAAAGTGCTTTGAAGGAGCTAAGTCAAACAATCTGACCTAAAAAATCTGCCTTGCTTCCCCCTCCCTAGGCCAGAAGCTGGGTATGACTTGCTCCCCCCTAGGCCAGAAGTTGAGTATGACCACGAATCGGGCCTGACCTGCAGCGCAGTCGTGCAGCGCTGGTGCGCGGCGTGCAGCACGCAGCGGCCGATGTTCTCGTGGTGGCGCGGCGAGTACGAGTTGCGCACGCACCAGTCCAGCTCGCCGTGCACCGCGCGTAGCACCGAGTTCGACAGCAGGATGCCGCCCTCTGCAAACAATTAACATTAAATTAGTACTAGGGATGTTATGGATATGTAGTTTCGGTTATGGATACAGGATTAATATCATACCGGTTTCGATTACGGATATTTTTTTATTTCGGATATTCGAAAGTTACGGTTACAGATATCCATAACATCCCTGATTTGTACCCTCTACCACAGAATAATAATAAGTACTACGTACAGAAGTTTTACTTCGCGAAGGTATTTAAAAAAATGTATGCTCAATGTCATTAACAATATGGTGGAATTTAGCCTGTCTCAAGAGTCAAGCACCATTTAGTTGACAAACGTCAGTGATCGGCACTGCGCCGAAGCTATAGGGCTGACTTCGGTAAAATGATGTGACGTGAGGTGCCAAACTGCGGAAAATGGCGGAGGAAATACATGATTTAGCATGAATTATCATGAATAATATTAACTACTTATTTACCTCTCAGTGTCTTGAGGCAACTTAAAAAAGNTATATGCACCTGGTACCTACTTACTTATGTAAGTGCTATACTAAAATAAAGTTAGACTCAGTAAAATGTAGAGTACGTGTGTAATTCTCTACCTTCTCTACACGATGTACGGAATTCGGTGGTGAACACAACTCGCTCTTGGCTGATTTTATGAACATTTTGAGGTATATGTTAAGGTTATGAGGAAAGCGTGCCGATCACATACCATTAATATGGCGATTACGATATTATTTATACTATACAATCGATTGAAATGATATGTGTGTAAATGAGTTGAAGCATGAATAAATTAGACTTTTAAAGACAACTCGCGTGTCTATAAGGAAACGTGTCGGGCTTCCTTTCCTTCTTAAGATAAACGGATACACAAATTGGCAAGACAATTATTATTTTAATGAATTGACATTAAAAGCATTTAAAATAAATTGCCAATTCCAATAATTTACAAATTAATTGGGCTATTCAAGTAAATAACTTTTTTTGTAAATTAAACATGTTCCAAAATTCATACATACCTACATGTAAGGGGGCGTCCATAAATTACGTGAGACAATTTTGGCTATTTTTCAACCCCCCCACCACAGAATAATAATAAGTACTACGTACAGAAGTTTTACTTCGCGAAGGTATTTAAAAAAATGTATGCTCAATGTCATTAACAATATGGTGGAATTTAGCCTGTCTCAAGAGTCAAGCACCATTTAGTTGACAAACGTCAGTGATCGGCACTGCGCCGAAGCTATAGGGCTGACTTCGGTAAAATGATGTGACGTGAGGTGCCAAACTGCGGAAAATGGCGGAGGAAATACATGATTTAGCATGAATTATCATGAATAATATTAACTACTTATTTACCTCTCAGTGTCTTGAGGCAACTTAAAAAAGTACATTCTGTGTTTTTATTATTATTTAGGCAGTTAAATACTGCACAGTATTTCCATTTTCTTTATTTTCTTCCATCATACACAAGAATACGCGTGCGTGAGTCAATGTTCGCTCGTATGTGAGGCCTTGTCGAATAGTATCCTGTAGGTGGGCCATCGTGCGTGTTTTTTTTTTTTTCGATGTAAACTCGCGGAGATGAACAGGCCTCCCTCTACATACAATGAGTACCTAAGACCCTGTTCGCGCCACGCATGCAACCTCATTAGCGTCGCGCCACATCACTAGCGCCGGGTGCGCGTGCAGCATCGTTGCACTCAAAGAAAGAAATCTGCACAGAGCAGACAGCCATTTTTGCTTGTATTTTACAATAATATTATTATTTATTTATTTTATTCGGAAAACCAACAGCAATACAATACAAATAATGGGACCTTAAATTGTCACTAAAGTGCTTGCTATTAAGAAAGAAAGAAAGATACATTTATTACAATGGACATCACACAAATACAGGCAATTACATAGACATTTGGATCAAATATGTAATTGCTCAATAATGAATAATAAATAAAATAAATAAAATAAATAACATGACAGTGACACATAATACTTAATGTAAGAAAAAATAAATTAAAAACAAGAGTAAACTGAGCAGTGCCACCCATTCACCAACAAGATGCCCACTGCAACGGGACCCCACACAGACCCACTACAAACTTAAAATATTGATTCTCACCTAGGGTACAGTAGTGGCTGTCATCTTCTGCGATTGTGCCCATGTAGACATCCTGACTGACGCTCAGCTTGGACACAAGCTCGGACAGCCTCCGGGCGTTAACAAATGATGTGTCCGACACCAAGAAAAAGAAATTATACTCTTCGAGGTAATTGTCAGCCAGATATTTCAGAGCATGGAATGGTTTGAGCATTTCCCGAGTGTCAGTGAAGCCCACGACATTAGCGCGCCCGGGGGCGGCCTGAACGCTGGATGCTGCGATGAATACTCGGAATGCAGGTTGGAGACGGGCAGCGGTTTGGTTGAGAGCAGCCACTCTTGAATCCAAGGCATCTTCTGAGCTTAACACCCCAGCAAGTAAAGACCCTGTGGAAAACAAAATTATTTTTTGTAAAACAATAAACACGATCTAAAATTAATTATTAACTAGCCCACTACTGCTTTCAAAGTAAAACGTTTTCATTTCACTTGCTAGAAGTGTGTCCTGCTGATAAACTGACATGTCAGGATTTAGTTTACAAGTCTCAAAATGCAGAGTAAACAATTTTCTTTTATGTCTAGTTGACTTTACTCTTTTCATGAAGGTAACCTACAGCATAGTAGTTTAAAACCTCAGCTTAAATTTGCCTTACTAGCTAGATAATTTACAGAACCAAAAGTAGGTCAGCTCAGCTTGTCGATGGCGACAGTTACCTCTATGAATGAAATAGATTCATAATTTCCATGTTGATAGGGTGTACACACCTCTCATGCCCAGCTCGGTGCTGTAGTAGCGCGGGCGCTGCACGCTGCGGCCCGCCGCCGGGCCCGCGGGCCCTAAGGGCTTCTCCTCGCGATGCGGCTCGAACTCGTCGCTCAGCGCCGCCGTGCTCGCCTCCGCGCACGCCGCCACCTCCTCCTCCAGTGGAATCGCGGCCAGCGCCACCCACAGCCCGATCACCACCCCCACCAGGAAGTACGAATTGTGCTTCACTTGCGAAACCACGAAACGGGACAACATTGTTGGGCTTTTGATACATTCACATTGGGAGTTTTATAGAAGTGGGTTATATGCGAAAGTCTAAGTAAAGAAGGCACAGTTAGTAAAGATAAGGTTTGAAGGAACTAATCTAATCACAAATTGACGATAAAAATAAAGTTTATCAATCTACCCAAAACTTGACGATCTGACGTGACGAACCATTACTGTCAAACTGACAGTGACAAAAACTGACAAGAAACTTTTTTTTAATAGAAGTTTTACGGCTTTGGATATAGATCCTTACGGCAACAAGAAACTTCCTCACCGTTTCTGTTTTTACCCGACTGCGCCAGAAGGAGGGATATTTCTTTTCGTTATGGCTTTGTGCGGTTTGCACATATTATAGCCAGTGTCAAGGTATAAAAAGTATTCAATTATTGGATTAATAAATAAATATTGGTTGGCTAAACACATATTTCAGAAAATAAAACATGAATTTAAGAATTTAGATGACGCTTCATTTTCCCGCCACGCTCCTTAAACAACTCAAAAAAAACATCAAAACCTTTTTTAAGAATCTTCGAGGAAACTGTACAGGGAGACGGCATTTATTTATGCCTGTTTACCTACGGACAAAACAGTTGGTGGCCATAAAATTGTATTGGAATGCGAGTAATAATTATTATACATTTTATAATTAACATAAATATTCCAAAGTAAGCAAAGAACAATATGGGCATTATTCATAAAATATTTGATTTATTGAGCGTTCCCTTTTTATCTATTCTAAACAACTGTCCGCTAAGTTCTCTGGTATAGATCGATTTAAAGCGATAAGACCTTCTAAATTGTGCCGTATCTATAGTTTCTTTCTTTTTATTTTCTTGTCTTATTTTATTATACTATGTGGTGGTGTAGATTTCTTCTATTTATCTACCTGCTAGGTACAGTTTACCCAAAACGTATAAAGTAAGAATTAGGCCTAACAGAGCCTAAGTAAGACTAATAAAAAGGCGATTTCATTTTAGATTTAATGAAATTGAACCACACTGAATGATATTTCATTGATAATTAGTTTTTTTTATTAAATTTCCTTAAATTTGTTGCCACGCCATGTATGTACCTACTCATAAAAAGTAAATCTGCGGAGGAAATAGGTGACATGTTTTGCCCGGTGGAATGTCCCCATTTGGAGTGATCACAATCGTGCGCAGACTAGGTAATCAGCTCTGTGTCTTGTGTGATATTACACACAATAACCGATGAGGAAAATTCGCAAATCTGCCTACTCTCTGGAAAACACTTTACGCTCCATGCCTACAAAATCTGAGTAATTGGTAGACAGGTTCTAGTTTACCTTTTATCTGTAGGTATTATGGATGATTAAACAAAACAATGCGCAGTAGTTGAATACCTACAAAATATTGTCTTCTGTTCAAGCAAGCTAAAATATCATGAAGGTATGGAGAAGTCCTACCATAAAATCCAACAAAGCACCTACTTACTTACTCATTATAGTTCCATCCTACCTAATGAATCAAGGATTTAAAATATTAGCTTAATATTTTGTATTATTTAATCAAAATTAGACAATATATTATTTTTTAAAGTTATCATAGCCACGATAGCCGAACGGTGAATGGGGTCGGACTGGCGGACTCGAGATCCGAGGAACGCGGGTTCGAATCCCACCCGCTCGATTATTGGTGAGCCCACTACTCGTACGTAATACATGGAGGGGCTAACGGGACTATTAGTAATTTGTGCAATACAAATTGCTAATTTATTTATTTTACAAATTGCTAATAATCTTAAAAAAAAAAGTTTTAAAAGCAAAAAAGAACTCGCTGTCTCAAAGCTTTGGTGGTACCCAGTAACCCAAAGAGTGCAAACTCAACCCTACTAAAGCTCCGTTGTCCATCCGCAAGACCGCAAGTACCTACTTATATGCACCTGGTACCTACTTACTTATGTAAGTGCTATACTAAAATAAAGTTAGACTCAGTAAAATGTAGAGTACGTGTGTAATTCTCTACCTTCTCTACACGATGTACGGAATTCGGTGGTGAACACAACTCGCTCTTGGCTGATTTTATGAACATTTTGAGGTATATGTTAAGGTTATGAGGAAAGCGTGCCGATCACATACCATTAATATGGCGATTACGATATTATTTATACTATACAATCGATTGAAATGATATGTGTGTAAATGAGTTGAAGCATGAATAAATTAGACTTTTAAAGACAACTCGCGTGTCTATAAGGAAACGTGTCGGGCTTCCTTTCCTTCTTAAGATAAACGGATACACAAATTGGCAAGACAATTATTATTTTAATGAATTGACATTAAAAGCATTTAAAATAAATTGCCAATTCCAATAATTTACAAATTAATTGGGCTATTCAAGTAAATAACTTTTTTTGTAAATTAAACATGTTCCAAAATTCATACATACCTACATGTAAGGGGGCGTCCATAAATTACGTGAGACAATTTTGGCTATTTTTCAACCCCCCCGCCCCCCTTGGTGAGATTTGGTGAGATTTTGCCTGACCCCCTCCCCCACCCCCTAATCTCACGTGATATTTAAAAAAACCGAAATTTAATAGTTTTGGAGTAATTTAACTGAGTTTCAAAGACTATACTTTAGATGAAGTAATTGCTTGTTTCTGAAATATATTTTGTTAACGACGGACAACTACGGAACCTTACACTGCGCGTGGCATGACACGCACTTGGCCAATTTTTTTACTTAAGATTTAAACCTAGATTTCTGGCAAACTATTTCTCTATTTCTTGCGGAAAAAATTACGTGATATTTCCTGAGACCCCCCCTCTCCCCCACGTGAGATTTAGTGAGGTTTTTGTTGACCCCCTCCCCCCCCTAAAAGTCTCACGTAATTTATGGACGCCCCCTAAGTGCCTATAAACTTGCACCCAAATTATATAGATCAAGCTCTACTTCAAGGGCGACAAGATTTAGTACGAATAAAAATATCTCAATTAATCTGAAACGGATTTTAAGAATTAATAATACATAAATAAATATACTTAATTAGCTAAGTCACGATAGCCGAACGGTAAAGGGGTCGGAGTGGCCGACTCGAGATCCGAGGAACGCGGGTTCGAATCCCACCACCGCTCGACTATTGTGGTGAGCCCACTCGTAACACAAGCTTATTTAGCTTAACACGAGGGGCACAAATTACTAATGTCCCGTTAGACATTAGTAATTTGTGCAATAAAAATTACTAATAATCTTAAAAAAATACTCTTAAATAACATTTCAATATAAAATGTATTATTATACAGGGCGTCCCCAAAACTCAACGTCAAGCGGGCACCGGGAACAGGCTAGCTCAAGCAAGACAGTGAGAATGGTAAGGCGTTAGGTAAACTTCATAACTTTAAAGAAATCCTAAGGTCCAAACGAATTGATTAGGTACCTACAGCCTTTCTGCGCCAGCAGTTTAGCAGGTGTGATTGAGATGCGGCGCACGTCTGCGATTCCTTCGCGATAAGCGCTCTACACGTTTGGTTTTTGCGGCAGCAAAATTGGTTCGTGGCGTGTGACTCACGGATTTTTACAATTTGCATTTATTCTGGACTAGGCAAAATTTCCTTCTATTTCTAGTTTGGAGTTTTTACAGTTAAGTACTACATTAATTACCTTCATAAAAATAACACTTAGCTAACGCGGTTTATTAATTTCAACTGACACACACTCTAAAGTAGGTCGGTCGAGATGCACCAGCTGGCATTTGTTTTGTTAGGCGGTCTAAATATTTCTTGACAGTGTAAAAAAGTATAATGCGCAAGTTTCCTTTTCATTTTCATTTAATTAATTTTCATTATTTTAATTACGAGTAGGTAAATGTCGCAGAAATGTTATTAACAGTCTAGCGTTAGCAAACGTTTAAAACACCTAAACATTTATAACATTTAGCCATTAAATGGTAATTTAATTTAATATCCTTTGTGGATACATAAAATGCATGTCAACAGCATTTTTAACAAGAAGCGTGTAAATCTCTAGTTGCAAATGAGGTAACTCTAAAAGCTCTAAAACTTTATACTAAGCTAACTCTACGGAGTTGACATTGTCCAATGGGCTGATGGCCTTCGTAGAAGTGGACATTATCTGCTGGGATCTTCAATGGGTAGGTATTGTAGATTGACTTAAATAACGTCACACAATAACGAAACAATGACAAACCGAATTAAATCAATTATTATACTCAGATATTCATACCGACTAGAGGCGCATACATCAATCATAAATAAACAGGAACAACAAACAATGCCTGCCTATGCCTTGCTAATGGAAGCTGAATATTAACGCAGGACTGAGTATGGTGGCGGAAGGAGTATTGATACCACTTATTTTTTTGTTTACTTGTAAAACATAACAAACTAAAAGAGTATTAGGCTTCTTCTTTACCTGAGCAAACCGGTTATGTGGTCGTTGCATCATGTAATGTGTTGCATGTGGATGCCATATTCATCTGCCCACGCGAGGCCACACCAGTCCTGATGAAGACGAATTAGATTAGAGGATACGAGGATGCTAATATATTTTGAATAAACACACTGTTTACAATGTAGGAGCTATAGCAAGCACGTGCTACATGTTAGTGTTGATACCTACGCGCAGCCGGCCGCGTTTATACGGCGCCGGCTGCGCGGGAGCGCCGCAGTCCTTTGCCGGTAAAGCTCACGCGCTTACCTCTGCTCGTCTTCAGAAAATACTATTATACTTAGTCACTTGCAAATAAATTTCGATTAAAACTAAGTGATAAACAAGAGTCTCCTCTCGTTTGGTTTAAAAGTGGAACGATCATTTATGGCAACCCTCTTGCTCCAGCCGACCATTGTGTGCACGTCCCCCTGTGGCAAGTTGATGACAGTCCAGATAGGAGTGGACAATAATAGTGGGAGTAGAGAGACTTTATTGATAGGGTGAAGATGACGGTGGTGCCTGAAGTGTCACGCGTGAGGGGCTTGTGCCACCAGTTGCTCATGGTTCTACTAAGTGAGTACATAACACACATATAAATACAGTTATTCATAAATGTCATCCACTTGGTAGATTAACCTGTTTAGAATAAAAAGACTTAAAACTTTTTTACAAAAAAACTTGTTACAAACGTATGTAGTCTACTTAAAGTAAGCGCCGCACCGACATGCGACACAAATAAGTTAACGACTGAATGTACGAACTGGAAGTACTGCTCCCGTGCCCGGGATATGAGATCAGGATGGAAACTAACTCCCTAGTGAGCGTAGAGTCCTTATTACCTAAGACACAAAGTCCCTAGAGCCCTAGTTCTACCTAACAATAGATACTTAGACATAATAAGGGTGCGAGAGAGGGCTGCTTTCAGGTTGAACAGGGCAGCAACGTTAGGACGGTAGGCAGGCGGCGGTATCAGTGAATGTGTCACTAATTTTTCGTAAAAAATGTCCCTACTTGATTTTTTTTACCTCCAGCTTAAATAAAATTAACCCGCAATTTTTTTTTAACTTGAATAAAGAAAATATTATTATATTCAAGAGTCAATTCACCCTTGCTTGAATGTGCTGTGTAAGTATTTGTTAAGTTTAATTAACCTTTTGTAACGTGGTAGATAGATCAGTCTAGACCGCAGTGCAGGTTTCAATCCGGTTTGGGCCGCGCGCGCAAGAAACCCAATTTTTTGCGACTTTGGTTGCATTTCCAAATGACTAAGTTCCAAAAGTAAATTTATAAAATAACGTAAGTTGATTTTATGATTTTTAAATTAACAATCGAGTGTGTGTTTTTTCACTAAAATACATCTCACATTTTCTTTACTAATTTCAAATCTTATAAATATCATTATTTTTATACCGGTGATATTTTAGAGGATAATAGCTAAATATATCCTTAACTATGTAAACAACAATACGATCGCAGTTGGCAAACAAGTTGTAAGGAGCGTAACGTAAAGTTTTCCTTTTGTGAACCGCAGCCGGCTCGTCTACGAAAAACCCAGAGGTCAGAAGTCATTGATCAAATTGATTCATACTACTATAATCATAATAAAGAGTTTGTGTAGGTATTTACGAATAGACTGATGTAGGCACGAGACCTTGTGGAAGAATCTGATGATTAGAGGGCATTGATATCAATGCGTACTTGGTGAAAGTATGAGAGTACTGTTAGATAGTAAGCATCAGTTAGGCACTTAACCTGTCAAGTACTAGCAAAAGTAGGTACACACTATACATATAACATTCAATTACTATATCTAATTGCAGTCACAATATCATATCTTATGATCGCCCAGAGTGAACAACGTGATAAATGTAATACCGAAGTAGGAGTATAATCTCGTAAGTTAATAAAATAGCAAAAAAAAGCAAAAACAAAATGTTTAAATAATTGGAAATGTTCACAATATTACAATAATTAGATTAGGTAACTTTGCGTTATTAGTTATTGCAGGTGACTCCCCGCTCGCGCTGGTAGTAATTAGTATGATAATGAGATCAATCAAAGATCGAGACCTGCTCCATGAGAGACACGTGTCACACGTGCGCATATAAGACACACTCGATCGTTACTTTGACAAGAGATGCGGTGCTTATAAATAAATTACGACACACTGAACGAAGAAAATTGTTCCACTTCAATGTCAATAATATTGACGATTCGGTTGTGATGCTTATCATCACCACGCACTCTTTCTTTAAACTTAATAAAGATTTAATGATCGCGCATCGACGCAATTAAACTCGGGACACCCTATCAAATAAAGGTTCCAACCATAATATCAGAATGCGTTTGAAAGAAAGACTAAGTTAACTTAGTCCAAAGACTACTATTATATACTGACTTAGTCTTTAAAGACTAGAACCACGAAATGCGTGTGTCTACTGCCACTGACATACTAATGTAAGAACGTAGAGTCAAGTCGCTAATTATCAGATTCAGTTCATTGAGTTAGGTTAATTCAATAAATGAAATGAGAAGCATTTTGGAGGGCTACTAAGTATTATTTGAAACGAATAGGAAAATATTTAGTCTAACCTATGATCTGAGAGTCTAACTCATTGATGTCATAGACACTTGCCCAGACAGCCTCCAGAGCATTCGTTATCGCGGCGCCTGATGACAGAGAAACCTATTTCAGTAAACGTGCCCACCATGTCTCTTGGGATGGCGATGGGGTGGGTGTCGCTGGTGAGCGGCGAGCGGGAGGAGACGGACGGCGTGGATCCGGCGGCGGGTACCGGCGGGGACCCGGCGGCGGCGGCGGAGGCGGAGGGAGCGCGCGTGGTGGCGGCGGCGGCGACCACGTTCCTGGCATCACTAGTCGGCGTCCCACTGAGTGCGCGCGCGCTCTCTTATGGGCGAAAATTCGCACTTATCGCGACGTCGATGTGCTTTGTGGTGAGTCATTAAATCCAGTATTTCGCATTCTACTCACGCTTCCTAATTTGTGCCTAGCTACCCTCAATGTCGCAGTTGGCCAGCCAATTTAAAAGTGTGAAAGTGCTTCTTAAAAGCCTTTTTGCAAAAATAAATGAGTTTCAAGAGTTTTAATGAACGGCATTAATTGTTTTTCCTCGACTACCTACATATTTTTCAAAAACGATACACGCTCCTGCGCTTGACTCGACAGTCAAGTTTATTAATTGAGACAGTAATAAAAAAAATTGTTTGCGTTTTGCGACATGTACAAAAACGCTTGTCTTCAAGGTCAAAGTCGTATTATTAATGTTACATCTCGTAAAGTTTAAGAAAACCCACTTACGTATATGCTCGCCTTGCCCTGTCGTTGACGAGAGTCCCCCTTAAATTGCCCTCTGTCGTTGACGAAAACGAAACTCTGTTGGTTGCAGGTGTGCTGGTCGCTGAAGCTGGTAGGCGGCGGCTGGTGGGTGCTGGCGGCACGCGTGGCGGCGGGGCTGGGCGGCGCCGGCGCCTACTCCATCGCGCCGCTCGTCGCCAGAGAGGTACGGGTTATACCTAATGCACAGGCACAAACATTCAAAGATATTAATTAAATATACACAAAGTATACCTGAAAATAAACCTTGTATTTTCAAAATGGCTCTACCTATGTATATGTTACGGCTAAAGATAGGTGTGAACATAAACTTAAGATTAGCCGGCTAAACTTAAGTTTATCTGCGAGAAGCAGCTAAAGTTCGATAACATGTTAGTTTGCGTCGTGATATTCCATCTTTAGCCGGCTAATGTGCACATTAGCCAAAACGAAAAGGCTAAAAATGTATTCGATGGGCGCGCCAGGCCGGCGGTGGGCTTGAGGAGGCGGTGGGGATACAACGAATAGCTCCATATTATTTAACAATTGTGACTACCTAGATATTGTTTTAAGTAATTAACACTGAAGATGTTTTATTTTGTAATTTTAAATACCTACTTACAGAAGATTCTGTAATGACCAAATGGTTCCTTATTATTTTATTTTAATGATAAGGTATGAGTACCTAGATATTGTTTTAAGTAATTAATGTTTTGTTATTGTAATAATTGTATTTTTGAATACCTACATAGGTACATAAAAGTATGTGTAATGAAAGTGATTATTTTTTAATAAAGTTTTCGTGTCAAAATAGTCCTTCTACATTTTTAGCCAAGGGCCTGCGGTTACACTTAAGTTTAGCCGGCTAAAGATAGAAGAAACTAACATTAACACCTCGTCAAAGATAAACTTAAGTTTAGCCGGCTAATCTTAAGTTTATGTTCACACCTATCTTTAGCCGTAACATAATAATATATACCGAACGTGTTTGGCTAACCCTCTTCCGAACGTAGCTGTATGATTTGCCTGTTGCATTAATTTGCACAGATTTTTCTATTCAATGCTAGGCTCTCTTTTTTTACAGTTAGTGACCGTATATGTATAAACCAATCAACTGTTGAATAAAAATCTAACTGTGCTATTCGTGGTCGTCAGATGTGCGAGAAGCGCGTGCGTGGAGCAGCGGCGGCGGCGCTAATCCCTGCGCACAACGTGGGCTTCCTTCTCATGTACCTCGCCGCCGACTTCGCGCTGCCGCACACGTGAGTCACCAGCAGGGATGTTATGGATATCCGTAACCGTAACCGATTCAAAAGGTTCGGATAGTTTCGGATGTAGGCAGTTTACCTTTATTATAATGCCATCTACCTATGTAGTATCAATTTTTATTTTTTTATTACACTTTATTCGATGTAAAGTTTGCGGCCATGAACCGGCCGGCGGAATGAACCGTGTTGGACAACTATTGCAATATGTATTCTAAAGCACAGATATCCGTAACCGTAACCGAAACTTTCGGATATCCGAAATAAAAAAAATCCATAATCGTAACCGAAACCGGTATAATATTATTCCTATATCCGTAACCGTATCCATAAAAAAACTCATAAATCTCATTTATTTTTGCAAATAGGCTTTTAATAATTAAAAAGCACTTTTACACGACCACATAACCGAAACTACATATCCAACATCCCTAAATATCCATAAGGGACACCAGCGTCACCACCACTTAGACAGACTGACTACATACTTTTTGTCGGCCGGTAGTTGGGTTGGCTGTTAATCAGTAAGGACATGTATGAAAGTGCGCACAGTACACCAATTTGGTATCGGCTGAATCGGGCCCAACTACTTATCGGTCAAAAAAAGTCGGTGGCAATGTTTGTATTCCGTTATTAGTGCACCACGTGGAAGAAATTACTATTCTCTCATAGACGAATTGGCAAGAATAAATAATTATTCTGGCAAGAGTAGACTCCTCGTGCCGAAAAGTCTATGCCCTTGGTCTTGGATCACTCCTCTAACTACCTACCCGGTTGCAGTGAGTCACTTTTAATCAAAGAAAAACCATTGCAACTGGTCACTATCAATTAAACACAATTAAACGCTATCAATTAACTTGTTCTTACTCCTACAAAGACAACTACAAGATCTAATGTTATTGAACAATTTGCGAAAAACGTACATCACTGAAGTTGTTAAATGACCTGTGAAAATCGCTTTTTAAGCACTCATCTTGATAAATCTCGCTCATAACACTCAACTCCAGCTCTAAATGATTAAAAAGTAGGTGGCGACGAGCCTGGGCTTAAAGCGGACGTAAAATTTCAATAACCGTTCATCTGGCGGTCGCTAATGGAGGCGGGTATCTGCTCGACGCCCGGGAATAGAAAATTCAATTAAAAACCCCGTTGACTAATATACGCAGTCGACAATGTCCAGTGGATATTGCAATTCTGTTTCCAAATAAGGAAAAATATTGTTTTGCCTGCTCTTGATTGATAATAAAATAAAATTGGAAATACATTTTCAATTGCACCCTACATTATTGATGGTTCCATGATGACCACCAGCTGACCTGAATAAATGCACTGTTCAAATTGCAGTTACCTATCCATGAACATGCTTAGCAACGACCAGAATATTATAGAGCATACTTAATTAATGAGATTACTTTAACGCATATGTAGCAACGTCTCATCATCATCATCATCTCAGCCATAGGACGTCCACTGCTGAACATAGGCCTCCCCCAATGCTTTCCATGTGACCCGGTTGGTAGCGGCCTGCGTCCAGCGCTTTCCTGCTACCTTTAGGATGTTACCAGGGCCAGTTTTCGGTGGTGTGGGTAGCCAGTCCTCCCCCGGAGATTCTTAGCACCCCCCGCCCCGCTGTCACCCTGCCTGCTACCGTAGCCAGGAACAGCGGGGCCACCGGAGCAACGTGTAATCAACGTGACTGAATGTAATGATTGTTCCTTAGGACGATCCTGTGGAGCTGCCTGAGCCTGTCGCTGCTGCACTGCGCGGTGTTCCTGCTCGTGCCCGAGTCGCCGGCCTACCTCGCCGCCAACAACAAGGACAAGGTACAGCCATTCATTACCTCACTGGATAAAAAACAATCAAGTTTTTGTTTTTAATAGGATAAGTAATAGGATTGTACCTACAACTTACAAGAAACTTTAATAGGCAATTGGTAATAGACATGATAATTTGTTAGCGAAGCGATTGTGTATAGGCGTGGTGGATGGTAGTACCTAACTCCTGAACGTGGGGAGTTGATTCTCGTTGATCAATCTGGACTGTTCAGTTACTTAGCTTTATTATTAGTTTTTTTTAAGAGATAACTTGGAATTGTCATTCTCACTAAAATGTCTCTGGGGTGGTGGCGTAGTGAGGCGGGTCGTTACATTCCCTCTAATATGGTCGAGTGAAGCGATGGCTGGTTCACTCGTCATGTCTGTGAACAGGCGCTGCTTTCGGGGACTGGTCAATCCAAGTTATTCAAATTTATTAATGCGAGTCATTTCTACTAGTATTTAAGTATCTTAATCTCTAAGTCTAGATATTAGCACGTTACTACCTTGCTTAATATGCCACGCAACTTTGTATACCCATTCTTATAAGATACATCATACAAGAATGCGTGGTAAATTCAGTGAACTGCTCCTGAATCAAATGTACCTACTACTGCTTTTTCTATTTGTTTATATTAACCGGCAGACAGCGGTGACTGAGTTTGTTGCGGCGCTTCTTCTCAGCACTTGCCAAATGTTGGTCTCGAAGCGCTGGTAGGGTAAAAAGATTATGAGACATGTAGAGGCTCCTTAAGAGCAAAATGACGATTTGTAAGAACTATTTATTAGTCTAAACAAATAAAGAAATTTAGACTTTGACTTTGATTTCTATTTGGATCATTTTAGAAAACATCGATTCTGAACAAAGTATGCACTATGCGGGAGAACAGCCTCAGTGAAATTCTGATCCGGTTAGGTACTTTGTTGAAACACAAGAAAGTAAATTTACTAATGCTTCATGAGTATGACATTATCTGGTGTAGATTTTTTTATGACGGAGTTTCTAAAAGAAAACAAATCCTTACCATGTTACAGGAAGCAGTGGCATCACTGGCGTGGCTGCGTGGGGTAGACGTGGACCACCCCTCGCTGGCGGAGGAGCTGGCCGCGCTGCCACCGCCGGATAACGGCGTGAGCACCTTCGCGCTGCTCAAGGACATGAGTGAGTCTGAATCATCAAGTCGCTTAGTCTCCACTTCAGTAACACGACTCTCTTGAAATTATTCTTAAAATTTCAATAACCGTTCATCTGGCGGTCGCTAATGGAGGCGGGTATCTGCTCGATGCCCGGGAATAGAAACCGGGGACAGTCAACAATGTCCAGTGGATATTTCAATTCTGTTTCCAAATATGGAAAACTCCCTACCCTGTCCAAACAGGTTGTAGAGGTCACATACTCTCTAAGTCGCCTCATAAGATATCTACGGGAACATTGCGTGTGGTCCAATTCTACTCTGCTGGATGGAATCCATGCTTTTCTCTCTTAGCATAACTTAGCGGACCTCTCTGCAGTAAGCAGATCTATTTGCAACTGTAATCGTAGTCGTAGTGATCCAGTCATACTATGAGGGAGTGAACTTGACCTTCATTGGTTGGGTTTTTATGGCGGTCAAGCTGTAGATCTTGGCTACACGCTTTTTTGCAGTGTGGGAATGAGAGGTGGGAATAGCCCCGTATGAGTGAGTGTACGTCTTTATCATAATTTCAAACCATTTATTTTGAATGTGTATTATTTCCAGTAAGCGACCGCAGTCGCCGGCGCGCGTTCATCATCAGCTTCGTGGCCATCGTCGGCCAGGAGGCGTGCGGAGTCTACACGCTCATGCAGTTCGCTGAGCGGACCTTCGTGCTCGCGCGGGACGAAGCCACCACTAGCGCCCTAGAAATTATGCCAGACAATGCAACCTATGCGCTAAATTCCACTAATACATGGAATATGAGCGATATGCTGACTACAACTATGGTGCCAAATGCTACAAGCGCGCTAGAACATGGCCTGAATGCAATGAATGCTACGGTGGTGCTCCGTACGAACGCGCTGCTGACACCGGCCAGGCAGGCAGTTGTGTTGGGAGCGGTGCAGTTGGTCGCCTCTGCCATTGCTCTGTACCTTGTGGAGAGGGTTGGGAGGAGGGTAAGTTGTGAACAATTTTTAATATAAATTCTGTAATTAATTGAAATAAAGAAAAAACATAGCTCGCAGAACTGATGGGCGCTGGGGCAAGAAAAGTTCTCGAGTGGCTGATTAGGTGGACCGACCATCCGGTGAAGGTCGTGGCAGGTGCCTGGAATCTGGATGCGGGCGGTGAAGGACCGGTCGATTTATTTTACCAGCTACATTTGGGACGTGTATAAGTGCCCTAGTAAGGGCCTATGTACTGAATAAATTATTTGATTTCGATTTTGAAATCCTACAGCAGTGGATGTCATTTGGCTGAAACGAACGGACGAAAGAAAAAGGAGTGAAAGAAAAATTGTATACCTAAAATTATTCATCGAGGTACAGGTACCAAAATGGCATCTGCTCTGTGCCGTGACGAGAGAGCGTGTTAAAACCCCTGGTATACTGCTGTGCTACCGGAAGACGTCCTACAAGGTGGACCGACGACATCGTAAAGGTAGCGGGGAAGCGCTGGAGGCAGGCCGCTACTAATCGATCAACATGGAAAGCATTGGGGGAGGCCTATGTTCAACAGTGGACGTCCTATGGCTGTAATAATGATGATAATGATGACTGCTGTGGATGCCATTTGAAGCAAAAGCGAAATATGCCAATGAGGGCTATCGTTTTTATACTTAACAGTTGGCACCCCTGGCGATTGACAGGACCTTACTCTACAGTGGCGCCATCTTGATGAGTGCAAATGCGATAGTCCTCCTACCACTTTAGCGCTCACCAGTTGGTGCCACTGTCTTCGCTACTAGCAAGTGACAGGACCTTACTCTACAGTGGCGCTAACTGGTGAGCGCTAAAACGATGGCCCTCATTAAATGCTGGCGGTCCTTTTGCAGCGGCTGCTGATCACGTCAGCGTTCGCGACGGGCGGCTGCCTGGCGGCGGGCGCGGGCGCGGCGTGGGCGGGCCGCGGCGGCTGGGCGGGCGCGGCGCTGGCGGGCGCGGTGGCGGCCGACAACGCGGGGCTGCAGCCCGCGCCCTACGCCATGCTCGCCGACATGTTCCACTATCAGGTAGGTTCCTGGAAAAATAATACTTATTACTAAGGATCAGACGGTTGATCTGCGGGCGATGAGGATCGGTTGTTGTGGAAAGGAGAGATCTTTGTCCAGCAGTGGACGTCATTTGGCTAATGGAGAGGGCTAAGGACGACTACTTAATTCAGAGCTAAACATAATTATGTTGTAGCTTAAATGAATACTGTGTGCTAATAGTGGTTGAAAAGATATATTTCCTTGCTTGCAGCATCGAAGAGTAGTAAAGATTAGATAAGTAATTTATAAACGAATGAGATGGACAGACAATTTTATAATGGTAGCAGGAAGGCGTTAGATACAGGCCGCTATCATTCAGCCTATTTGAAAATCATTGGGGGAGGCCAATGTTCAGTAGGCTATGTACGACCTGTGACTGAAATGACGACGATAATGAAGTTTTGAAGCGTGGCTGGTCTGTTCTTAATCAGTTATCTGGGGGCACGGCNGCGCTGGCGGGCGCGGTGGCGGCCGACAACGCGGGGCTGCAGCCCGCGCCCTACGCCATGCTCGCCGATATGTTCCACTATCAGGTAGGTGCCTGGAATAATAATACTATTACTAAGGATCAGACGGTTGATCTGCCGGCGGCGCAGGACCGATTGTTGATCCTTGAGGGAGGTCTTTGTCCAGCAGTGGACGTCATTTGGCTGAATTGACGATAAATGGAGAAGGCTAAGGACGACTACTTAATTCAGAGCTAAACATATTATGTTGTAGCTAAAATGAACCTACTGTGGGGAAATATTTTTACAAAAATCTTTTTTTTTTAAATTGTAATTGCATGTCATGTAATTTGTCATGTGTTTAATAAAATAAAAAGAGTGGTTGAAAAGATATATCTCCTTGCCTGCAGCATCGAAGAATAGTGAAGATTAGATAAGTTTAGATTGAGTGATAATTGGCCAATCTCGACATCTTTGAGGGAGGCCAATGTTCAGGGGATTTACGTCCTATGGCTGAAAAGATGATGATGATGAAGTGAAGTTTTTGAACCGCGGTTGATTGATCAGTTATCTTCTTTCCCTTACCTAACCTGGACATTGTTCCCCAGTTCCGCAGCGCAGTGATGATGCTGTCGTCAGCTGGCACGTGCGTGGCGAACGCGGCGGAGGTGATGGTGTTCCCGGCGCTGGCGGCGCGCGCCGGTCTGCCGGCCGCGCTACTGCTCGCCGCGCTACTCACGCTATCTTACGCCATCTTCGCGCTATTCGCCGTGCCCGAGACGCGCGGCAAAACGCCTGAACACATCTACTCGTTGTTAGACAAAAAGAGGAAAGAGAAGGATGTCGAAGGCACGGATGAAAAGGGAAGGAGGTCGGAGCCAGAGTCTGATAGCACTCGTGTGTGAACCCAAAGAACTTTGTAGGATAAGTAATGTTATGTAAAACTGTTAACTACGATAAGTATCAGACAATGTTAGTGATGTAAACGTTACATAAAGTTCTGTGATAGTACTAAATAAAGATGAGTGAGACAACAAATTAATACAATTTTAAAATAATAATTCTGAAAGAAATTGCAAACTATATAGGTAAGTGCATTGTAAATTAATTTCAATATTTTTAAATAACTTCAGTGTGACAGTCTTATAGCTGCAAGGTGCAAAGCACAATGGTGACGTAGGTCGTTAAGTGACTATTCAAAAAGTAAATAAATATTTACATGGTTTTTTACTTCAATAAAAATCTAGGTAACCAGGTATAATATAAGTTTTTGTAATAAGTAGATAAGTTTTTGTTGTTTAAGAGATAAGTAAGTATAAATAGAGAAACGAGTAGTTCCTAATAGTTTTTGATAAATTAATAGTTGAATTCTTAGTTTTATTACTGGGCTCTACCAGTCATTAATCGCTATAGAGTAAAATTAGACAATAATCGGGCTGGTGTATTGCGTTCTTACTGTGCTGTGTTGGGGGCCGGTTGCCGCGCAACCGCGTCCACATCAATACTGATTTGCTGCTAAACGTGTGCCGATCCGTTTCCAATCTACTGTTTCTCTTTTATTGCATTTATCTCGCAATTTCATTCGAGTGAAACCAAACAAAACACTGCACCCATTGAATTTGAATTGATTTTGATGTTTCAAAGGGTTTGTTATGAAGATAAAATGACCGGATCTTAAACGGAACCAAGTGGTAAGTTTTGTTTTGCTAATTATTTTCATCAAAATAAGTGGCAGCCATAACCTATCCGTCCCCCGGACACGGCCTGAGCCGAGGTCCGAGCCTACCGTGGCGCCCTCAGGCCGCGTCCGTAGTCCCCTCGATCGGGCCCACTAGAGTGAGCCCGCCGTAGGCTGGACTTGGGTCCAACACCGCGGTGGGCAACCCTCTAGTTGGGTTCGCCACTGATCGGGCGCCTCATGCGCTCGATACGGCCCGATCGCGAACGTCGGTCTGCGGCCGACGCGGACGAGCCTGGGCTTCGCTACGCGAAGCCCACACTCGGCCTCGTCGGCACGCGCACCGACGATCGCCAAACGGCTAGAGTACCTTCTGTACTCGCCACTCTGCCCGGTGAANTGTTTTTTACTATTTAATTCCATTAAATATCGAAATAACCGTCGTATTTTATTTTACATGTTACGTTACTTCGTTATTTTAACATTACCGGTAAAATAACGAAATAACCGTTATTACTTTATTTTTCCATGTTGGCAACACTGTTTTTAGAAGTTAACATTAACGATCACGGTGAAAATGTATTCACTTCTTTGCTAACCATCGAGCAATAATTATTGGAAATATAATTTCTACCCTGCACCTCGTGATTTTATTTCTGAAAAAGCTGGTCAAGCTTTTATCAGAAGTGGGATCGGTCGTAATTGCTGATCCCAATGGGGCGAAAGCGATCCAAACGCTCACGCCACGCAAATAAGCGCAAACGAAAATCCAACGACTACTCCTCGGATTCATCGGTTACCAGTTCAGAAACTGAGTACAGTCCGCGCAGAAAAAGAACTCGTAGTCCAAGGAGGACTCAATCAAAATCATCAAGGCGTTACCGTTCCCGGAGTGCTTCCGAGCGAAGATGTTACACACCGCAGCGGGCGAAAAAGAACAATGCAAGCAGACGAAAACAAGGTGTAGCCAGTGGGTACGAGCGAAGCACACCAGAACTGGCGAAGACGGATACTGCGACCGGACGGGATAACAAATGCCGCCCTCCAGCAGCGACAGGTGACCGGGCCGGTGCCGAGGAGCACCCGCCAACGAGTGGATCGTGTGCAGCAGCAGGGGGTACCACATCTACCGCTGCCGACAACACACCGCAGACGAAGACTTCTTGTGAGTACAATAATAATTCAGTTCCTCCTAACTTGTTAGTAAACTTTAGTGATTTTTCACAATTATTACAGTCCTTTGTTAGACCTAATATGCCGTCATCTATTAACCCTTCAACAAACATGATACCAGAGTTCGATCCATCGGTTAAAAGCCATCGTATCGATGCGTGGATAGCAAAAGTTAACGAATGCGCTAGTATATATCGTTGACGTGGACCACCCCTCGCTGGCGGAGGAGCTGGCCGCGCTGCCACCGCCGGATAACGGCGTGAGCACCTTCGCGCTGCTCAAGGACATGAGTGAGTCTGAATCATCAAGTCGCTTAGTCTCCACTTCAGTAACACGACTCTCTTGAAATTATTCTTAAAATTTCAATAACCGTTCATCTGGCGGTCGCTAATGGAGGCGGGTATCTGCTCGATGCCCGGGAATAGAAACCGGGGACAGTCAACAATGTCCAGTGGATATTTCAATTCTGTTTCCAAATATGGAAAACTCCCTACCCTGTCCAAACAGGTTGTAGAGGTCACATACTCTCTAAGTCGCCTCATAAGATATCTACGGGAACATTGCGTGTGGTCCAATTCTACTCTGCTGGATGGAATCCATGCTTTTCTCTCTTAGCATAACTTAGCGGACCTCTCTGCAGTAAGCAGATCTATTTGCAACTGTAATCGTAGTCGTAGTGATCCAGTCATACTATGAGGGAGTGAACTTGACCTTCATTGGTTGGGTTTTTATGGCGGTCAAGCTGTAGATCTTGGCTACACGCTTTTTTGCAGTGTGGGAATGAGAGGTGGGAATAGCCCCGTATGAGTGAGTGTACGTCTTTATCATAATTTCAAACCATTTATTTTTAATGTGTATTATTTCCAGTAAGCGACCGCAGTCGCCGGCGCGCGTTCATTATCAGCTTCGTGGCCATCGTCGGCCAGGAGGCGTGCGGAGTCTACACGCTCATGCAGTTCGCTGAGCGGACCTTCGTGCTCGCGCGGGACGAAGCAACCACTAGTGCCCTAGAAATTATGCCAGATAATGCAACCTATGCGCTAAATTCCACTAATACATGGAATATGAGCGATATGCTGACTACAACTATGGTGCCAAATGCTACAAGCGCTCTAGAATATAGCCTAAATGCAATGAATGCCACGGTGGTGCTCCGTACGAACGCGCTGCTGACACCGGCCAGGCAGGCAGTTGTGCTGGGAGCGGTGCAGTTGGTGGCCTCTGCTATTGCTCTGTACCTTGTGGAGAGGGTTGGGAGGAGGGTAAGTTGTCAACAATTTTAAATATTCATTCCACAATTAATTGAAATAAAAATAAAAGTTCAGTGGGCGGGGCACATATCTCGCAGAGCTGATCGCCGCTGGGGCAGAAAAGTTCTCGAATGGCTGACTAGGTGGACCGACGATCCGGTGAAGGTCACGGGAGGTGCCTGGATGCAGGCGGTGAAGGACCGGTAGTTTTAGAAATCCTTGGGGGAGGCCTTTGTCCAGCAGTGGACGTCATTTGGCTGACACGAACGAAAGAAAGAAAAAAAAAGAAAAAAAAAAACGTAACCCTAACTAAAACTATTCATCAAAGTACAGTTACCAAAATGGCATCTGCTCTGAGCAGATGTCACGGCACCATGGTCGTAAGGTACTCTCTGCCGTCACAGAACTCACAGATGACGGCAGAGAGTACATTACGACCATGGTATTCTGCGGATGTCAGTTGCGCAAAAGCGAAATGTGCGCTTACATACTGGTGCTCCTTTTGGAATGGCTTGGCTATGGCTTCCGCAGAATAACAGCGTCATGTTCTGGGTTTTACTACCTCAGAGCATGACACATGCTGAGCGGTGGCCGTTTTTGGTTCTAACTACCTTTTACTTATTCAAACTATGTGTTTTTTTTGTTGGAACCAAAATAAATGTTTTCTTTGTTTGTTTTGCAGCGGCTGCTGATCACGTCTGCGTTCGCGACGGGCGGCTGCCTGGCGGCGGGCGCGGGCGCGGCGTGGGCGGGCCGCCGCGGCTGGGCGGGCCCGGCGNGTCCAACACCGCGGTGGGCAACCCTCTAGTTGGGTTCGCCACTGATCGGGCGCCTCATGCGCTCGATACGGCCCGATCGCGAACGTCGGTCTGCGGCCGACGCGGACGAGCCTGGGCTTCGCTACGCGAAGCCCACACTCGGCCTCGTCGGCACGCGCACCGACGATCGCCAAACGGCTAGAGTACCTTCTGTACTCGCCACTCTGCCCGGTGAAGCTGGAAAAGCTCCTCAAGCTACCAGCGCGCGTCCCTTCAAAAAAAAAAAACCTGAATGGATATAATAATTACTAGATAGTTAAAAACTATGCACTTAATTCATTATTTAACAATCCCAGATTGCATTTCATTAAACCCTAACTAAAATGTGACTTGCAATAATGTTAACGTTTTGACTTACCTAATTGGATTTCACAATGTTACAGGCATTGTATAGCTAAACCGGCCTTTGTGCAAGTCATTGGGGGAGGCCTATGTTCAGCAGTGGACGTTATATTGTTGAAATCATGATGATGATGGTGATATTTACGCCTTTTACTTACTCGAAAGGTCGCGGGAAGCACTTGGATGGTGGCAGTGCAAAACCGGTCGTTGTAGAAACTCCTTGGGGGAGGGCTTTATCCTTTTAATTTTTTATTGACATTTACACTGCGCTTCTAGTCCCACCCAAACTAAACAAAGCTTGTACTATGGGTATTAGACAACGGATAATAAACATACTTAAATACTTTTTTTCTTGTAAATACATACTTATTATACATAGAAAACACCCGTTCGTTTCAGCCAAATGACGTCCACTGCTGGACAAAGGCCTCCTCCAAGGTTTTCCATAATGCACGGTCCTGCGCTGCCCGCATCCAGGCGGTCCGCCCCGGGTGCCAAGCATCAGGGGGTGACACAAGTCGCGCAGATTAGTACTCCCTGGCACATCTGCATGGCAAATCTGCGGTCTATGTCATGATACGGGGGGGTGGGGGGTGCGGTTGTCTTTGAATCGGTAGGAAACCCCAAAAATCCTGGGGGGGTACCAGGGGGTGCCATAGGACTTGTGACGGGGGGGGGCGGTCCAGTTTTCTAGATACATAACTGCTGTCTACAAAATACAAAAAGAAATGAGATCCCATCAAAAACAATACTTGTCAAAAAAACCAAGTCTCGCAACTCAGTTGTTCTACGGTAAAAAGTTGTGAGATCCATGTAATACCAAGTCCAGGCCAGGAAATCTTTAACGTTTTACATAAATATATTGACTTGGCCATCGCATGAAAACACGTGTAAATTAAATTATTTAGTGAAGAAGAAATAACTTCTTTCCCTTACATAATGTAACATTGTTTCCCAGTTCCGCAGCGCAGTGATGATGCTGTCGTCAGCTGGCACGTGCGTGGCGAACGCGGCGGAGGTGATGGTGTTCCCGGCGCTGGCGGCGCGCGCCGGTCTGCCGGCCGCGCTACTGCTCGCCGCGCTACTCACGCTATCCTACGCCATCTTCGCGCTATTCGCCGTGCCCGAGACGCGCGGCAAAACGCCTGAACACATTTACTCGTTATTAGACAAGAAGAGGAAAGATAAGGATGTCGAAGGAACGGACGAAAAGAAAGAAAAGGATGTCGAAGGCACGGATGAAAAGGAACGGAGGTCGGAGCCAGAGTCTGATAGCACTCGTGTGTGAACCCAAAGAACTTTGTAGGATAAGTAATGTTATGTAAAACTGTTAATTACGATAACTATCAGACAATATTAGTGATGTAAACGTTACATAAAGTTCTGTGATAGTACTAAATAAAGATGAGTGAGACAACAAATTAATACAATTTTAAAATATACATCGTTCTGAAAGCAATTGCAAACTAAGTGCATTATAAATTTCAATATTTTTAAATAACTTCAGTGTGACAGTCTTATCGCTGCCAGGTGCAAAACTGCAAAGCCCATGGCGTAGGTCTACATAGGTAAAGTTTAAAATTAAGTAAATAAATATTTTAATATTAACATGGTGTTTTACTTCAATAAAAACCTAGGTAACCAGGTATAAGTTTTTGTAACAAGTAGATACATCTCATCATAAGTTTTTGTTGTTTATGAGACAAGTATAAATAAGCACGAGTAGGTGCTAGTAGTTTTTAATAAATTAATAATTGAATTCTTAGTTTTATTACCGGGCTCTGCCAGTCTTTTAAATTAAGCGCTATAGAGTAAAATTAGACAATACTCGAGCTGGTGTATTGCGTTCTTACTGTGCTGTGTTGGGGGCCGGTTGCCGCGCAACCGCGTCCACATCAATACTGATTTGCTGCTAAACGTGTGTCGATTCGTTTCCAATCTACTGTTCCTCTTTTATTGCATTTATCTCGCAATTCCATTCGCGTGAAAACAAACAAAACACTGCACCAATTGAATTTGAATTGATTTTGATGTTTCAAACGGTTTTTTATGAAGATAAAATGACCGGGTCTTAAACGGAATCAAGTGGTAAGTTTTGTTTTGCTAATTATTTTCATCAAAATAAGTGGCAGCCATGACCTGAATGAATATAATAATTAGTAGGTACCTACTTAACTATGCACTTAACCCAATATTTAACAACAATCTCAGAATGCATTTACCTAATTAAATTAAAACCTAGCTAAAATGTGATTTGCAATAATGTTGACGTTTTTGTCTAACCTAATTGTATTTTTTTACAATGTTTCTACAGCCATTGTAAAGGTAAATCGCTACCAACCGGCGTTTGTGCAAGTCATTGGGGGAGGCCTATGTTCAGCAGTGGACGTTCTATTGTTGAAATCATGATGATGATGATGATGGTGATGTTTAGGCCTTTTACTTACTCGAAAGGTCGCGGGAAGCACTTGAATGGTCGCAGTGCAAAACCGGTCGTTGTAGAAACTCCTTGGGGGAGGCCTTTATCCTTTCAATTTTTTTTTACATTTACACTGCGCTTCTAGTCCCACCCAAACTAAACAAAGCTTGTACTATGGGTATTAGACAACGGATATAAACATACTTAAATACTTTTTTTCTTGTAAATACATACTTATTATACATAGAAAACACCCAGTCCAATACAAACAAATATGTTCATGCGCACAAATGTTTGTACTGTGCGGGAATCAAACCCGCTACCTCCGGAATAGTAGTCCGTTTCGAACCACTACACCAACCGGTCGACATATAGCTGAAACGATCCTTGATGTATGTTCCAGCAGCTCCCCGCGATGGGCCTGCTGGACAAGCTGTCGGGCTGGCTGGGCCGCGGGCCCACGGAGGTGACGGTGCTGGTGCTGGGGCTGGACAACAGCGGAAAGAGCACGCTGCTCAACGCGCTGCGCCCGCCGGAGCAGCGAGCCACAGCCCTCGCGCCCACCGTCGCCAGCACCCAAGACCATTTCTCTAGTCAGTAGCATGACTCGTTCGTTCNGGGGGGGGGGGGGGGATCGCCCCGGGGGCCAACCCATGCTACGCCGCCACTGCATCCGGGCTCTTCCCGCGACCTTTACGAGACCGTCGGTCCACCTAGTAGGAAGCCTGCCCACGCTACGTCTTCCAAAACACCCAGAAAACACCCAGTCCAATACAAACAAATATGTTCATGCGCACAAATGTTTGTACTGTGCCGGAATCGAACCCGCTACCTCCGGAATAGTAGTCCGTTTCGAACCACTACACCAAACGGCCGACATATTAGCTGAAACGATCCTTGATGTATGTTCCAGCAGCTCCCCGCGATGGGCCTGCTGGACAAGCTGTCGGGCTGGCTGGGCCGCGGGCCCACGGAGGTGACGGTGCTGGTGCTGGGGCTGGACAACAGCGGCAAGAGCACGCTGCTCAACGCACTGCGCCCGCCGGAGCAGCGAGCCCCAGCCCTCGCACCTACTGTCGCCAGCACCCAGGATCACTTCTCTAGTCAGTAGCAAGACTCATCCATCTTCATCATCATAGGCCTCCCTCAATGATTTCCGTAAATATCGGTCGGTAGCGGCCTGCATCTATCGCTCCATCATCTATCTTGCTATTAGTTTTTCATAAGCGCTTTTTTGTCCATAATGAAGAAGCTCTTAGCTTTCGAAAGTGACCCTCAGGCCAAAGATGGAAGCGAGATTCATCACGAATCCTAAATCACAGTAGGTTTCCATTTTATTTTCCCAGAAATAATAAATAGGTCTACTGATTTCTACTGGAATTACTCTTGTGCTTTCCTATTTTTGTTAGGCAGAGCAGAAAAAGTGTTTCTGTTTCTACGTAGATGCAAATAGCACAGCAAAGTCTCAGGTTTCTGCCCTTTTGCCATCTTTTATCACTCCTAATTTCACACGATTTGTGGCCAATAGGTATACCTAATACATCGTCGTATGCGGTCTCCAGATAACGCAACAAATTGTCCCCGGACGCTGAACTGGCTGAACCAATCAGCGCGCGGCGCGGCCATAACTCTCGTGTCGGCAGGTTTACGACTGACGCGAGCTCCTTCGCTGCTGCGGAGCGAATACAAAATGACAAAGCGGCTTAGAGATTAACTTTATTCTACTACACTTGGGAATGTTGAAAGTCCTAAGCGTTTAACGCAACACTTATTAAGACGCAAGTGCACTGTGCAGGAAATTGGCCAAGACGTAATAGTGTGAACACCATCTCGGTTACTTTCTCCTTGGCTCAACCGTGCGTCGCCCATACTTCGCTGTGCAGGCTAGCGCTTCGACTTGGAAAATTTTCCGCATAGTGTAGGTACTTACGCCATTCGATTAAATCAGTGGTTCCTAACCTGGAGGTAATTACCCCCGCAGGGGCAAAACGGAAATTCTAGAGGGGTAACATGGGATGGCACGAAAAAGTATTAAAATAGCAATAAACAAAATAGTACGGTATCCATAGGCTGCGCCAAACTTATTTAGCAAAAAATTGCGTGGTGGGGGTAAATTTGGTCGTAAAATGTATCGTATGCCTTCGGTTACAGAGTACATTTTACGATTGGCAAATTTACTCCCATCACGAAATTTTTAGATTCTGTAGAGCCGCAGGTGACCGCCGGCGGTCTCGCGGCGGCGTGCCGCGGCCGCGCAATGAACTACTTTAAAGCTTAGCTAGGGGTTAACTCAATTCTCATACTTGTTCACAGGGGTAGTGACATTGAAAAGGTTAGGAACCACTGGATTAGATGATGTAGGTAGCACATACTGACGATCTCTGATCACCAGGCGGCGGCGTGGCGTTCAGCGCGTGGGACGTGTCGGGCGCGCCGCGGCACCGCGCGCTGTGGGAGCGGCACTACCGACGCGCGCACGCCGTCATCTTCGTCGTCGACGCCGCCGACCACCTGCGCTTGGGTGAGTGCTCCTGCTTGCAGTGGCGTAACTATAGGGTGGCAGGGATGGCAAAATGCCATGGGGCCCCCGAACCGAAGGGTGCTAGCCCAAGTCTCTCGAGCTGCTTCAGAGATTTGGTATGAAAAATAACCCTAGAATTTGCAACGGGCCTCCACTGTTACGTGTTACGCCACTGCCTGCCTGTTACCTGTTAGCGTGTAGGCATACCTCAGTTCATCATCATCATCTTTTCAGCCACAGGACGTCCACTGCTGAACTAGGCCTCCCCTAATGATTTCCATATCACCCGAATGATGAGGCCTGCATCCAGCGCCTTCCTGCTACCTTTATGTGGTCGTCGGTCCACCTTATGGATGGACGTCCCATGCTGCGTTTTCCGGTACGTGGTCTCCACTTCAGAACCTTGCTGCCCCATCGGCCGTCAGTTCTGTGTACTATGTGCTTTATCCATTGCTACTTCAGCTTGCTAATCTATCGGGCTATGTCACTATGTGACTTTAGATCTTTTACGTGACATCGGGGGTGGCACGGCCCCCCCAGAATGGTCTGGTGCCCCCACCCCAAGATGGTTGGGCTACCAATTTAAAGATGATAGTTGATGGTACTAACTATGAGCTAGATACTGATCGCTGATACGTCAATGCCCATCGGCCGTCCGTTCTGCGTGCTCTGTGGGTGGGCTGTCCATTGCCACTTGAGCTTGCTATCCGTGGGGCTATGTCAGCGACTAGTTCGTTTACGGATCTCCTTATTTCTGATTCGATCACGTAAATATACCTCAGTTATTCTTGTTCTCCTGGCGCAGTGGTGGTCGTTGAAACTTGTTCCATTATGATTGCAGTGGTGGCGCGCGAGGAGCTGGAGCTGATGCTGGCGCACCCGGACATGTGCGGGCGGCGCGCGCCGCTGCTGGTGTTCGCCAACAAGAGCGACGCGCCGCACGCGCTCGCGCCCATGCAGACCGCCACAGGTGACACGCCCGAACTAAAGCAAACATAAACTTTTTCTTTAGCATTTTGTTTTGATGTTTATCGTTCGTTTCTGCCAAATGACGCCCAAGGCCTCCCCCAAGGATTTCCATAACAACCAGTCCTGCGCTACCCGCATCCAGGCTATTCCCGCGACCTTCGCCAGATCGCTGGTCCACCTAGTAGGGGCTTGCCCAGGAAAACTTCGAGCATAGCCCGCTCCATCGCCCTTTGGGTGACTTTGAGCCTTCTTATGAGGCCCATAGTAAGCGACCACGTCTCAGATCCATATACCATCTTTGGCAACACACACTGGTCAAAGACTTGATACTTAAATGCGTTTTGAATATTATTGAGAGCGCTGAGATACTTTTTATTTTTTACATTCATCGGCATTACAAGAAAAAGCAAACATTAAAAATCTCACACAATACAAAACTTCGCCGTAATTAAGATGAATTGCAGTTACTCTAAAACACGAACAAAGAAACAACAAAATAATGAAAACAAGGAAAATTAAGTTAAAAATGAAGTTTGGGCCTATTCATTTTTCGCAATATTTTCTTGTTAAAATTTACTTATCTGTGTGAGTTTCCCTTAACCTGTGAGAGTCGCGACGCGCGTCCCTGGGGGCGGAGACAGTTGTACCTGTCCTGTGACAAACCCTTCTAAAATAAACATCGAGAGTAAGAGTCGGTGAAAGAGCAACGTTTTATTATTGATGGAATCGCAGCTCTGAAGTTATTTTAGGGGGAAGTTTGTTTTTGAAAGTTGTCTTGAAAAATTTAAATAAGGTTTCCAAAAGGAATTATAGGTAAGTAGGTAGGTACTGTAGGTACTCAAGGTATTTCCAAACATGGTATGCTTCATTTTAAACTAAGTAGGTACTGCCAATTAAAATCCCTTCCAGTGGGTTCCGAAAAAGCCGCGCTCGAGGTTGATTCCCCGGCGGTCAATTATTTTGTTTGTAATCGCGACGAGCGGCGCTCGAGTGCGCTTCAATTAGTTGCAGTCGCTCGAGTGCTTTAATGAGCTGAAACCTCGGCCCGACGGGGAAATCGCTCGACTTTTCAAACGCGTATTCGATAATGTGTTGGGTGCAAGTAATACTTTTGTTTTTATCTAACACTTTTCTTTATCATTTTCTCTGAGACTTTTCCTCTGCCATTAAAGTCTGTTCGCCTGACTGTAGCTCAGCTCAGGGAAATTTTTGCTAATTCATTGTTTTTAGGGTTCCGCACAAAAAAGGATAAAAACTGTACCATATTACTAATAACAATCGTTGTATGTCACTGTCACCAGGCTGTATCTTTTCATCATGAGGACTCGTTATGCGAATTTTTAACACAATTTATTTAATTAATTTTAAAATTACCTCTCGAGCGAGTTTGGAGTCGGCCCCAGCTGCTGCTTCGCAGTGAGCTCACGGAGCCGCCGACTCACTCAATGGCCAATCGCCGGCGATTTACTTTAGATTACTCGAATTTCACTGAATTTCGGATCGCAGCCGCAACCACGCTCACTGCAACTCGATAAGCTTAAGGCAATGTTGAGCTTAAACGATTTAGTGTTGGTTTTACCAGAATTAAAGGGGAAAATATCTTTAGCTAGATTCCTGAGTGCTAAAGCGTATAAGCGAATAAGTTTACGTTAGCAAAATGCCTTGTAAAAATATTTTAATCACTTCCTAAATCTAACATTGTCCAATACGAAAATAATCTATGTCTAAATAGTTAGTGTCACCGGCTAAACCGCTACTATTTATTGCGTCGGACAATCTATCTGGTCAGCAGCGTGGAGAGTTTGCTATGTATTAAGGCCTCTGGTAAAATGGAGATGATTTTTGTAATGTAAAACCAAATGTAAATGTAAGACGTTCCTCCTTATGGGTAGGTGGACCGACGACCTCAAAAAGGTAGCAGGTAGGCGCTGGATGTAGGCCGCTACCAACCGATCCCTATGAAAATCATTAGGAGAGACCCTTGTTCAGCAGTGGACGTCCTATCTTACTTATTTCTTACTAATATTATAAATGCGAAAGTTTGTAAGGATGTCTGGATGTTTGTTACTTTCACGCAAAAACTACCGAACGGATTTTGATGAAACTTTACAGTATTATTGTTTATTTATAACGCAGAGTAACATTAGATTAGACAGTATTAGACAACTCATAGTAAAAAATAAAATCATAAAAACATAGACTATTAAAAGGAGACCGTTCGTAACAAACATATAGGCTATATGACGCACAGATCGTCAACAAACTAAATTTCACGCGGGTGAAGCCGTGGGCAAAACCTAGTGACTAATAATTATGATGATGATAATGAACACCAAATGACCTGATGATAAATTAATGATTATTGTTGTAGCACTAGGCCTGGAGCGTATCACGGACAAGCCGTGGCACATTTGTGCGTCGAGCGCCATCTCTGGCGCCGGGCTGGCGGACGGCGTCGCGTGGCTGGCGCGACAGCTGCGCGACATGCACATGCACCACTAATGATCATACTGGACAATCAAACCACTGGGTTGTTCCATCCAATGTAAACTGAATGATACTTCACACTGGTATTCAGACACTTGCAGTCGCAGGATAGGTAGTAACTTACCTTCTTAAGTACCTACTTACAGTTGACAAATCAAAATCCTTACCCGTTACTGATATTATAAATGCGAAAGTAGCTCTGTCTGTCTCTCTGTGTCGCTTTCACGTCTAAACCACTGAATCGGTTTTGATGGAATTTGGCATAGGTAGAGATAGTTTGAGTCCCGGTAAAGGACAAAGGATTTTAGATTTAGTAGTTTTTGTCCCAGTTTTTGAAACAGGGACGCGCGCGATAATGTTTTTCTGNTAACTATTGTTGTTGTATAAAAACTAGGTACTATTGGTCATATTTTTTAAATTTAAGACTTAAAGCAATTTTAAGAATAGGCCTTTACATATTATTGCAGCTATAAGTTAAATACAAATTAAAACTTATTGATACCTTAGTGTAGAATCATAAATACTGTAAAAAAATTTAAATTGATGGTAATTTTCATAAATATACTTTGCAACAGATCCATAATCAGGTGAATGACCTTCCGTTTAGTTGACAGGATGTTTACGCATCGCCACCGACGCGGACGCCATCGCATCTTATCAGTGAATTTCGGACTCGGATTGTTCCCAGTTCTAGCCACCCCTCTACCCCTCACCCCTCTCAACTTTACCCAAATGCACTCTGAAATAGTTTCCTCCAGTTTTTGCCGTTGTTAGTGCTCTCTTTCATTCATTTAAGCCTGAAGATGTGTTCATTTATTTGATATTTACCCGACGTCATTTTCAGCTCTATAAGAGAGCCAATCCTACTACTATTATAAAGGCGAAAGTTTGTAAGTATGGATGTATGGATGTTTGTTACTCTTTCACGCAAAAACTACTGAACCGATTTCAATGAAATTTGGCACATAGGTAGATTATTACCGGGACTAACACATAGGATACTTTTTATTCAGGAAAAATTATATGTTCCTGAAGGAGTCCGATATAACCGAAATCCACCCGGGCGAAGCTAGGGGCAGAAGCTAGTCTTATTATAATGCTTAACTTTCCGAATTTCCATGACCGTTATTAAAGTTTATTATGAATAATTTTAATAATACTTAGTTTTCTATATTGTTTTGGGGACATTTGCCACGCCTACGANTTTTTCTATGACACAAAATTTCACGCGAGCGAGCAAAGCCACGGGCGGAAAGCTAGTGTAAAATAAATTAATTGTGCTTCACTAATAATCTATTCTTTCTTCTTTAATCTACGAGTACGTTGCACAGTAAAATATAAATGATATTATTCCATTTACGAGTAGAGTAATTAGTATAAATAAATAAGTGAAGTCATGTTAATTAATTTCATCCTTTGATTTAAAGAACCTAAGCGTTAGATGGATTAATGTTAATCTTATTATGTTGTTTAATACATACATAATAGATATTATGCACCTTTGTTAAGAAAACAAACTTATAATATTATGTCCTATGTAAATTTTTTTTTAGACATAAGATTAGCAGCCCATAGATTAGCAAGATAATAAGTCTTGATATTATTAGGATATTTTTCACAAAGTATGTGCGGTTGTTATTTCTTAATAAAAATATGTACTCTATGATATGTTCACAAATAAAGTTTATGAAATTTAATGTATTTTGATTGTTTTGCCTTTAGGTTTCTGAATGTGCTGGTAGGTAAAAATATATCATGACGTTTTCCAGCTCGATTTCCCAAGGAAAAGCACTTTTATATTAGACTGTCTTCGTGGCCTAACACACACGTGCTAAGTGTTGACTTAATATTCCAATTGTATGTAAAAAGGATTACCTATCTATCTTAGAATAAAGACGTCAGACAAAGTCTAGGCAAGCGGCCCAGTTTCCAGGAGGCCCACAATGGAGGCTGCGGCGACGGTCCTGGCGTGATTAGGGGCAGATCCAATTCTTTGTTAAACATCCTTTATTGATAATTTAGATCTTTGAACTTATTTGGCCTGGCTAGGTAAAGCCTTTGTCGTATGCCAACGTTGTAATAAAGAAGAAGTAGATAGATTAGCCTGTTTTCTGACTATAAAAATATTTTTACATCGTATTTAATAAAAATATAAGCAATAGACTCAGATTTTACTATACAGGGTGGAAACGATAAGTGATCTCACTCGATTATTTCTAAACTATACAAGATATCAATAAACTAGTTACTGATCCTGAAAGTGCTTCATGAGCTCTATCAAAAGGTGTTAATAATAGGTTACAGAATAATCTGGATCTATCCGACAATTCAATGTTTCCAGCTTCCATACATTTGGTAAAGTCACATTATTTTAAAAACTACACATGATATCGTAAAACTGATTACTGATTCTAAAAGTGCTTCACAAGCTCTATCCAATGGTATCAACAATAGGTTACAGAATAAACTGGATCTATCCAAAAATTCAATGTTTCCTTCTTCCATACATTTTGTACTACCACATTCATGACACTCATCTCTTGACGATATTATAGCAAGTTTATGTTTTCCATGAATAATTTAAAATAAGAATACAATTTACGAGTTTATTTTACGAGTTTATTATTAAATAAAAAAAATTACACTTCTAANAACCAACATAAAATTAATTGCATAATTAATAAGGTGTTTATGGTTTAGGTAAATTATCAAATTTAATTGTTCTTGTCATAGTTGGAGAAGTGGCCCTATCGACACTTAACACGGATCCACTCATGTCACGACCCATCGACACTATTGTGTTCGACCTTTGTTCACTATCATGCACTGCACTGACACTATTAGCACTGGCACTGATACCCTGNTATTTTAAAAGGCTAATGTAAACAGAATAATTGTTTAAGATGTTTTGTATAAGACTACTGTATTTCGTATTATTTTGCACCCACGATGTTATTACTTATTTTCAGGAAACGAAGATCAAATTGAGCCTCCTTCAATCCAAGCAGAGGCTACTGTAGCTACATCGTCTGGTGGGAGTGAAAATAAGAGGGAAGAAACTACTACTAGCAATCAAAAATTTCTAGACCTAAATCTAGACCACCCCAAACCGTCGTTGACGCATTTCGACAGGGATTCGTCAATAAGCTCTGACTCTGATTCAGAAATCAGCGATGAAGAATCTAAACAAGACACGCTTGATGCTTCTAAGAAAAACCTTGGTTGTTTCATATGTCCAAATGAAAGTGATCACATTGGAATAAAAAAAGCTTTTATGGAAAAACATCCAATCCAAGTTCATGAGGGAAAAGGAGTTAAACTTCCGTTTGATCCATCCAAACTCTACTATCGTCTTTTGCCGAATGGAGAAAAAATACACAGAAAATGGTTATCTTATTCCATTGAGCTCAACAAAGTATATTGTTCTTGTTGTATGGCTTTCGGAGGCAAGGATAACAGAGATTCCACATTTATTACTGGACATGATGTTACACCAAAACACATTTATAAATCGCTGGAAACTCATGAAAACTCCCATTATCATGAACTTGCGGCCAAGACAGCTTTTCAATGCCTAAAAGGTCGTGATATTGAGAGTCTTCTAGCGGGACACCAATCTAAACAACGGGAAAGAGAAGTTCACACAAGAAGATTAGTTGTTCATCGTTTGATTGACATAGTTTTTTTTCTGGGTAGACAAGGCATTGCTTACAGAGGGGACAAAGCAGAAGGGGCCTACTCACTTGACTCTGTAGAAAATCATGGTAATTTTCTCGAACTTGTCATGATGGTTGCAAACTATGACGTCATTTTACAAAACCATGTGAAACAGTGCATTGAGGAGAGTAAGAAACATAAACAAAAAACAATTGAGAAAAGAAAACTTGTCGGAAAGTCAACCAAAAGACAGTACGGGCGAGGCTCCTTGATCACATTTTTGTCCAAATCGTTTATAAACAAGTTAATTAAAACGATTGCTACAATTGGACGTAATATCATATTGAAAGACCTCAAAGATAGTATTATTTACAGCGTGATGGTAGACTCTACCCAAGATGTGGCAGTGATGGACCAATTAGCTATATGCGTACGCTACGTTGTCCAAGGAAAGGTTTATGAAAGGCTACTAGAGATGACTGTTATTGATGACTCTAGTGGACAAGCATTGTACGAGCGAATAACATCGGAATTAGCAAAGTACGGAATTCAAGCATCAAATATAGTTGCGTGTTCATTCGACGGGGCAAGTAATATGAAAGGGTGTTACAATGGCTTACAGGCTCACTTCAAAAAGGCAAATGAAAATATGATTTATACTCACTGTATGGCTCACGTCTTAAACTTAGTAGTAGCTGACTCGACAGTAAAGTTTCTTCAAGCAGAAAACGTATTTGGATTGGTAGAGGAATCTGCAGTTTTTCTGAGTACATCTTACAAACGAATGGCAGTGTGGGAGAAAGAAACAAAAAAACAACATACCGCCCACGACAAACTTTATAGACTGCAAAAAATAGGAGCCACTAGGTGGTGGAGTAAACATAAGGCTCTGTCATCGATAATTGATGAAAGTGTTTTAAGGAGCGGGGAAATTGCCACGGACAAATTAACTAACGTCATTACCGTATTCAAAGAAATATCTGATGGTAATTTTGATTGCAAATCCAGATATATGGCCAGAAATTTGGCAAGTCAATGGGTGAAATTTGAAAACCTATTTATTTCATTCGTTTTACTAGATATGTTTCTTGTTATAACGCCTGTTTCGAAATATTTGCAAACTAAAACATTGGACTACGCTATTGCTTGGGATTTGGTTCAAACACTACTTAAACAGATCAATGAAAAAAGAAATGACAAACATTTTGAATTTTTGTACACGAAAACAAAAGAGTATGCGACTGCTGTTAACAGTAAATTGGAAGATAGCAATATTGATTTGGAATTACAATTGGACTTTACGGAAAGAAGAATTTCAAAGAAAAAACGAATGCCTGGGGAACAATCCAGTGATGATGCTCCTGAAATATCAGCAGCTCAACATTTCAAGCATGTATTTTTCAATATGTTAGACTGTGCTAGAATAAGCATAGAAGAAAGATTTTGCCCCAACAGAGAAATTTTAGAGGACCTTTCTTGGTTAAATCCAAGAAAATTTAATGACATAATCACGACAAAAGACTTTCCGGCTGGAGTCCTCTCTTGTATCTCAAAACTTTGCAATGTTGAAAGAAGTATATTATTAATAGAACTTAAACAATTTGCAGATCAGTACAAAAGTTTCATAAAAGTTGTAAAAACTCAAGATGAACAGATCCCAGACGAAGAATCAAACAAAGCAGAAGAAATTTTAAAAGACCGTGAACTCGATTCGGAACCTGAATCAGAAGAAGACAATTTTCGTGGTTTCTGCAATGACAGTAAAAAATGTTTCAAGTGTTTGTCATGCGCCTTCTCAGTTATTTTTGAACTCTCTGGATCAGGATTGTTCACTAACTTATATGTAGTTTATAAATTTATCCTAACGATACCCTGTACACAGGTTACATGTGAACGGGTTTTTTCGAAGTTAAAAATAATTAAGAATCGTCTTAGGGCTAGTTTAGGCCAAGACCTTATGTCTAGCCTTATTTTTATGAACATAGAGAGAGACTTGTTTTCTGACATCGACAGAGAAGAAATCATTAATGTCGTGGCCAGTAGTAGTGACGAACTTAAAAGAAAACTGATGGGATAGGCTAGGCAATCGTTAATAAGGCTACTATCACTATGGTAGGAATTTTTGTCGTCTTTCTACGGTTAACACAATTTTTTTTTAACTTCTTTATGTAATAATTATTTATGTTATGGGGGGGGNGCACTGACACCCTGGCTGCTTCGCAACTCGAGGATGACAGGGCGCTCTTCCTGCGCGCCTCTGTCCCGCCAGCTCGCCAACACGCACCGGCCCTTCAGTTTGCAGCCGATGTAAATGACGACGACGACTATCAGCATCGCCAGTATAGCGTAAATAGTAGAATAGTGTGTGACACTGCTGTTCTGTAGCAGTTGTAAATCTTGCGATTTCAGCACTTCTATTCTTTTGTTTATTTCATCAAATAACTGATCATGATTCTCCAGGTTATCTAGCACCTTTTCGTTCATGGAGGTGTTTATCATATCGTTAAGAGATGAGGTATATTTAGGCAGGACCGGTATGTCAATGTCCTTATGTATGTACATTTCATTGTAGTAGTCATGTTGAGCATGTATTGTAAATATGTCACCTTTTAGAACGCAGCCTTGGCCGATATCAATGACCCCGTTCCCTTGTAGGTACTTAGTCTCGAGTCCAGCTGGGCACAAAATGCGAACTGAGCATTCTCGGCAACACGAGTATAGCCACGCGCCAGACGATTGTAATTTGATCCACCTGTCGGTACATTGTCTTATCTCTGAACGGCAGTAAGTTTGTTTATTGTTACTTGTGAACAATCTCAATTCACATAATGATTGATCAAAGTGCACATTGTATATGGGATGAGTTTCATAGCATAATAATTTTGAGTTTTTGAATTTTATGCATGAATCCATGTCATTGTCATTTATAGGCATTATTAAGTCCTTTTTCATGTTAAAGGCAATGTAAGTGGTAGATGGGATGTTGTAAACAGTTCTGTCAGACTTTATCCATGGAATAGGGATTATTTTATTAAGCTCGAACAGATCATGACTCAGAAGTGGTATTTTGATCTCTATAATTAAATACCTTTGTGTCACTTTTACGTGGACTTGTAGGAGTTGATACAAATCTCTTATGTTGTCAGTAGGTATAACCAATTCCCCTTGTAATTGGCCTGATATGATGTTCAGCTGATTCTGCAGTTGACTCGGTGATATCAAATGTATGTCAAGTTGCCCATGGTAGATGTTAGTTATGGTGTCAATAAGTGTTTCTTGAATACGTCTCAGGTTGGAAATGATGACATCAGTAGATAAAGCTGTAGTTATAGTGTAGAACATTTTGAGATGATGTGCATTAGCTAATTTGACGTCATTCACTTCTTGGGACAGATTCTTCAAAAGCTGATTGATGTATGAAAAATGTTGATTCATGACGACTTCATTTCGTTTCAAAATATTGTTTTCAGCTTCCAGTATCGAAGTTTGGTTTTTCAACATTTTGAACAGATGTTTTTCCGTGTTTCTTACGGCTTCGANAAGGGTGCGATTTTATTTTTTGTCAGTTTTGTGTGTTGTGCAATAATGACTAAAGCCTGGTCCGTGAGCACGTAGAATTTTGTCCAATGACCCCAAGCTACCCACCCATCTTTATCGCTCGCGCGTAATTATATTGCTGTCGCGACTGTGCGACGGGCGCCCGCAGTGAGTGTGCGAGCGCGACAGCAACATAATTACGCGCGAGCGATAAGGATGGGTAGCTTGGGGTCATTGGACAAAATTCTACGTGCTCAGAGACCAGACTATATCTATGTATTTACCTGGAGGCCTAGTCCTCTTCACATTATTCATCTTTCTTCGTCTAGGCAACCTCTTCTTCATATTCGACGAGAAATCTTCTTCCTCCGAAACGATCTCCGCCGAATCCCTCCCCATTATAGACGAAAACCGATTCGGCCTCGCCGTTTTGCTCCAAAAACTCAACCTTTGCGGCTTTTTCGTCACCTTTTTGTACATTTCTGTCGTCGTCAGATTGTAGACGAATATCGGCACTTCGGTATCTTTAACTGTGGTGATGCTTTCGTTAAATTTGACGTCATTGGTCAGTTCAGTTCTGACGTCATCAAAAGTGTTGTTGATTATGTTCTCGTTGATGTTTTCGGTGATGTTGATGGAGCGCTTCCGTCTCTCATAATCGTAGCTAGGTTTTTGAGTCCTGATTTTGGATCGGACTTTGTCGGAATAGTATTTCTGACGCGGTGCCTTCTTGCGGTAGTTCTGATCTTCGTCAGAGTAGTGTTCTGTTGGAAATGTATTTCAAAGATAAACTGCCTATTTCAAATAAAGCATTTTGTTATATTTTCGTTAGATAATTCAAAAAAAGCTGAGACTACTTATAAAGCAAGATTATTGTTTAGTTAAATGATTATAATGTCTTATTTTTGTCTTGTAATAAAAGTAATTTAATTCTTCTCTTTCCTACCTTCATTTACAGGTTCTGCCCCGTCATTTTGCTTTGCTCCTTCTTCCTTATCCATATCGTTATCCTCTGGCAGTATACCATCATCACCTCCTGTGTAAACGTATCTAGAAATATAAATAAAAGGGACTTTATTTGTGAGTAGAAGTCTTGTAAAACAATATCATTGTAAGCATTTAGAAGTACTATAAAACGAAACAGGAAAAGTACAGGTCCTAACATAGTACCCTGTGAGATTCGTCTATTTACTAGCAACCGACGTAATCGCAATGCTTTCGTTAAATCTGACGTCATTTCATTCAAATATAGATCGCTACCATTCTTCCGCTAATGTTTGAGTGTTATCGGTACACGCTAAATCATCCATGTGTGCAAACGCACACTACAATAATGACGCTCGGATTGCTCGGATCAAACTCCCCGCACCCCGCGCTAACCTCGACCAAAAATTGGTGGGGCGCGTCTTCGTGGATGAAACGTTCTATAACTCTTTAACCCTTTTATTTTATTTATTTTATTTTATTTTAACTACAGGTCCCAAATCCTTACCTGGTACTCCAGTCCATCTGCCTAGCATCGTCGAGCCACTGGTTGGCAGCGAGGGTGGTCTCCCGGATCATCTTGATCTGCATCTGAAGGAATATCTTGCGGAGCTCCACCGTGATGAAGGAAGATTTGGTGGCGAAGTCTTCGGGGTTTTCTACCTTTTCTTTCATGTTACCTGAAGAAATAGGGTGATGTAACTAAGCTTATTTACTTATAGCTAGGACACAGATTAAGGTCTGAAACTATATTCAAACTCGATTCAATCTCATTCAGTCACAGATTCTTTCCTTTGATATTTTATGTCTAAATATTGAAATTCGAGAATCGATAGCAAAAGTTATCGGTCAAATTAACTACTATCAGCTACAGTTCCAGCTTCCCATTGCCGGTCATGTCGTCTCGTTCTATCGCAAAGAATCACCATTTGATGAGAGCGAGAGAAAAAACGAAAATTGGTAGCTGGAACTGTGGCCGATAGTACAAACTATGGGGCAAGCATAGTAAAAAATAGGAACATTTTACTTGATTATTATCATAGTTGGGACGCCACGAATAGTCCAATGGGCTATTATAAAATACATACCCCTGAGTGGTTTCTCCAAAGTATTCTCCAGCCTCAACAAAACCGACCCAGCCTTCCAAGGCTCAAGGGTCAGAATGTTGATATGCCGAGGCAACCCATGAAGTCGGAGTGATGAGAACTGCAATAATGACACATCTAAATAAACCTGATCTTCGGGCAAAGAGTAGTGATGGGATCACTGGAGACAGTCCTTTGTTTGGTAAATTTTCATTTCGACCCTCATCATTTTAGTCAATGTAAATCAAATACTTTTCTCTCATGAGAGCTAAGTCTCTCTCTCGTCTCTCTAAAGAATCATATAGAGCATTATCTTCCGCTTTTCACCCAGTCACACCTAGCTAGCTACCTTTTAGAGAACGTAGCTCGAGCAGGGGGAAAACCTGACGACTGTTTGCTACATTACGTTTGTTTTTCTAAAGCCTAGTCCGTGAGCACGTAGAATTTTGTCCAATGACCCCAAGCTACCCATCCTTATCGCTCGCGCGTAATTATACTGCTATCGCGACTGTGCTCACGGACCAGGCTTTAGAGTCGGTTCTCTAATTTCGTATTTATTGAAACATTTCACCTCTTACCCTCTTGTTCCTAACGTTCTGCCACTTCCTTCTGTTTATCTTCTCCCCAGAAGCAAAGAAGAGCCACGGTTCCATCTGCCATCTTCTAGCAGCGTGAGCGACTCTCTCAGAGAACGTCAAGTCGTCCACTGGAAGAATAGAGATTAGTGTAGAAACATACAAACTCCTATCGAATTTTAATTTCAAGATCTAGAACGTAAACACGTTGTGAATTGAAACACATAAGAGTAACTACATAATTTATGGCCTTTTTTTTGTGGCGGTGGAAATGCTTTGCGCACCGTCACCACTGCTAAGGGACATGGTGGTGTGTAGGATTCCCGGCGCCCTGAAAATGGCGCTGATCCGTCCTGAAAAGGACGGTGTATACCCAATAAACCTCCGCGGCGTTCCGTCTACGCCCGAGTGGGGGTGTCGCGAGTAGCCGGCCGTAGCCTTAGACTTCCGCGATACCACCGACATTTTTTATGGCCTGGTAAATCAGTAATAAGTTATGGAACTAATCTCAACTGTCTTTCCGACCACTAAAACTAATGAAAACCAGGATAATTTACTTGGCCTTGATGGCCAAGTAAATTAAACCCAAATTGAAACCCAACCAGTGAAGGGATTTTTTTCATTAAAACATTTAACTGATGATACAATAATTGATGTGTCCACGTGGGAATGTGTCTGATTGAAAATGTGTCCCGTTGAAATTGTGTCTCGTTGGAACCAAATCTGAGTAGGTACTAAGCAGTCCCAGAGGTAGCTAACTGTCTTGGAACAGTGGTAAGAGTAGCCGCTAAACAAGCGAAAGGTCGTGGATTCGAGGCCCTAAAACAGCAGACTTTTTTTAACTGTACTAGACTTCTAAGTGGACCGACGATCTGGTGAAGGTCGCGGGAAGCACCTTGACACAGGCAGCGCACGACTGATCGTTGTAGAAATCCTTGAGGGATGCCTTTGTCCAGCAGTGGGCGTTATTTAGCTGAAACCATGAACTGACCTTCTTGTCTAAAGTTTCCAAAGAGTATTCTGTGTTTCCCTTTCACCACTAAACCAGCTCCATGTGCTTCTTCATTCAGAGACTCTTCAAGCCCAAACCCATCGTCTGTCAGAAGCCGTCTGTGGACCTGCCAATAANTGTCCAGCAGTGGGCGTTATTTAGCTGAAACCATGAACTGACCTTCTTGTCTAAAGTTTCCAAAGAGTATTCTGTGTTTCCCTTTCACCACTAAACCAGCTCCATGTGCTTCTTCATTCAGAGACTCTTCAAGCCCAAACCCATCGTCTGTCAGAAGCCGTCTGTGGACCTGCCAATAAAAATATTTACAACTAGCTTTCCGCCCGCGGCTTCGCCCGCGTGGATTTTTGTCTGTCACAGAAAAACTTTATCGCGCGCGTCCCTGTTTCAAAAACCGGGATAAAAACTATCCTATGTTCTTTCCCGGGACTCAAACTATCTCTATGCCAAATTTCATCAAAATCGGTTGCGAGGTTTAAGCGGGAAAGCGTAACAGACAGACAGACAGACAGACAGACAGACAGACAGACAGACAGACAGACAGACAGACAGACAGAGTTACTTTCGCATTTATAATATTAGTTGGGATAGTTGGGATGGGATAGTTGGGATAGTAAAGTACCTTACATAAAACAACCATATTGTTTTTATCTTTCATCCATATCTCCATGATTCATTTATTTAAAAAAACCCTATAACTCCTTGTGGTAAGCTGGATATACTTTGGTTATCGAGCGGCGGCAGGGATCACCTTAGATCACAGCCAATCCGACTCCACTTCCACCCTTGGGAGTGAAATATTTTCTTCAAATTCGCATGAAACCACCCTTTTGATAATACCTATTCAACAAAAAAATAATCAGTCAAATTGATTTATAATCGGCGGAGATATTGCGTATAAAAAAGTTCATCCCCAATTTTCCACCCTTGGGGGTTGTTTTTTCTATTACTAAATTTAAATGGGACCACCCTTGAGGTATTACCTATACGCCGAAAAAAGATTTGTTCAAATCGGTTCATAATTGGCGGAGTTATCGCGTAACAAACATAGAAAAAAAAAACATACGGGTCGAATTGAGAACCTCCTCCTTTTTTGAAGTCGGTTGAAAATAGGGTAGAGTCTCCAATATACGTCAGAATATAGCCAGCTCTTTCTCCACTTAAGGAAAACATAACATCGGTTGGTGAATATTTTGATTAATCTACCTACTTATGCAAGTACAGTCGCGGAATGAAAAGGTTCGTCACCTTAGTGTCGGTTTTCGCTTGCACTAGGTAATTTTTTTTTTTTTGGTTCCATTCGTTCCTTCTGGAACAGGCTAAGGTCAAAGACCATGCTGCCTAGTCATCAGTAATCTTCTTGATTTTTTCATTTCCAGGGTAGCTTCATTTTTATAGTATGCTTCATATGCTTCTTCCTCCTTCTTCAGGTAGAATCCCCCAATCTTAGGGGAATATCCACANTATACAGTGGCCTACACGTTCCCCAGACCTAACTCCGTTCGATTTTTACGTCTGGGGACAAGCTAAAGAACTGGTGTACGTAACGGATTCAAACAATAGAAAAACTACAACGAATAGAAAACGCCTTATTAGTAATAAAAAGAGAAAAGTGGCTGCATACGACAACAGTCGAAATTAGAAGAAGATGTCTTGAGTGTATACGTTGCCGAGGCGGACATTTTGAACAAAATTTGTAATAATTAATAAACGATCAAAATAATTATTTTCGTCTTTAATTTCAAGAAATCCACATTGAAAAACTATAGGGAAAAGGTTTTTACATTGCAAAAGATAAATAATTTTTACCTGTTAGGTGTTCTACGTGCTATTCACACAAAAAGGAGCTATAAACAAAAATTTCGCAAATCAGTCCGAGTAGAGTCAATGCACTAATTTAAGGAATTTGTGAAGTTGTTGTTATTATTTAAACAAGATTAGTATACCGTTTGAATGAGGATAGACTAGAGAAGTTTTGATAAAATCCGAAGATCGCTATCTCTTTAAAAAAAAAAATATACCCTTGTAAACTTAAATGTTCAGTCCATTTTTAACTTTTCGGAAAACTTCAAAGCTGAATTTTAAAAAAACTAGATGATATTTGCCAATAAATTTAGATTTGATGAAACCCTACATTAATGCACGTCAAAACAAAATATTTACTTTAGGGCTGCGCCTAGTAGTTTTTTTTTTAATCGAAATTAAATGATGCGATTTGGGTATTTTGGTGAAATTACTAAAAAAATTAATTTAAAAGTAGCCGCCTGGTATGGAACGTGTTATGGGGGCTGAAAATATAGGAAATGACCCATTCTACCCGCCAAATCATTTTGGCACACGATGCGCCAAACACCCTGTATATCCTCGAACCCTGATTTAATCTCTCAAGTGAGAGGAAAGAAAATCTCGTTGAGTGATTTTGTTGAGTTGAGAAGTTTCATTGCCACGTTTTGTTCAGATACACAATTGGTGTAGGTAATTTGAGTTAAATAAATGGCAAAAAAAATAATTTTAAAGCCATTGGCGCCGACGCAACCGTCAAGGCACAAGATATTTACGAGCGGCGTAATTGTGGCTGACTACACAGAATCAAGTCTCAACAGCAAACCAAAGTGATGTAGTTACAGTTGGATGGATGACATGATTGCAGATTGAGCTAGTTCAGGCAAGCAGTTAAATGATGAACAATACTAGTTGCAGTAAGTACTAGTTCAATGAACTTGCATGGCATGAATATCGGACTTGCGAAGAGAATAACAATGACAGTGCAGTCCATGACAATGAGGGCTATCGTTTTAGCGCTCACCAGTTAGCGCCACTGTAGAGTAAGGTGCTGTCACTTGCTAGTCGCGAAGACAGTGGCACCAACTTGTGAGCGCTAAAGTGGTAGGAGGACTATCGCATTTGCACTCATCAAGATGGCGCCACTGTAGAGTAAGGTCCTGTCAATCGCCAGGGGTGCCAACTGTTAAGTATAAAAACGATAGCTCCCATTTATTATATGGAATTAACAAAAATAGATTAAAAGGTAGGTGAATAATATTAAAAAATTACATCAATCCTTAAAAATATATGAAAAGAAATCATGTTATTAGACAATTATACATAATCATCAGTTTTAATTAGGTAGGCATCCAATAACACCTTAATGACATTATTCCAAACTACGCCTAAAGTGTCTTATAATGTTTTAATGTCAACTTCAATAAAAGTTACTGACTTTTATCGAAGCCAGTAATTACAGTCATCATTATACCCAATCATACCTTAGCACAGGCATAATAGTGTCAGCTGACAAAAAGTGATCGGACATTATGTACTCTAGTTTCATAGTGATAAAACTCATATTCCCTATCTATATGGTTTATCACTGCTCATCAAATTGAGCAATAGCTGACCCACTAATGAGGTTAATAGACAGACGGTAGTTATCATCATTTGTCCGATTAAGTGTTAAAAGTGGCTAAAGCCAGACAATTATGCTGTACAATGGCAGGGCGTAATCATCAATTTGTGCATACTTTTCATGGGTTGAGTAGGATGAATGTGGCAGTTTATCACACGTATTATGAAGACAAGACAAGTATAACTAGTAATCATATAGATATAGTATAATTATACCATATTTAAGGATTTTAAAAACTGTCCTCACTCAAATAAGTCTCTTCCCCCTGGAAAATAAGTCCATTATGACAAATCAGTATAACAGATCATTTTAGAAATATCCTAAAATAACTCAGCCTTTTTACAAACAAATTACCTAGATTAGATATGACATGTAGTTCCAAAATCACAATTTATTTGATAAGATTATTATGCAAGCACAATTATTGAGAGATAGCAATGATAGTGGTATCTTGACATCGTTTCCATCATGATAATAATCAAATTAACCCCTTGACCTTGATTTAGATTTATGTGAATTATTTGATATGTAAAGTAGGTGTTCAAATAAAATTCCTAATTGGAAAAACTGGTATTCTAGAGAGAGCATGACTTTTGTATTTCTTTTAGAAAGTAAACTTGTAAAGATAACAAAGGAAGATTAGAAGTTAATCAGACATAAAGAGCTGAAAAGTGAGAGATAACAGTGCCGTCGTGACATTAGCGATTAATGCGTTCTCATAAAGACAAATAGAAGGGAATACTTACGGCGAAAATCGTGTTCTGCAATCCAAACGGGATTGGCGTGAGTCTGGCAAAGAACACTATTTTGAAGGCTTGCGGGCCCGCGATGACTTTCAGCAGGGCCCGCGCCGTCTCATTCTTCAGCAGTCGGTCCAGCGGCAGGTAGCTCCGCATTGCCCGCAGCGTATAGTGGGCCACAGCCACTCCAAAGTTCGCACATACCAACACAGTTCCCAAACCGTGCAAAATCCCCAACAAGTAACCACTTGTTATTATCAACACCAAATACCCAATAGTCACTGGGAAACTCACCAGTAAAAACAATCCCACAAACAACAAAAATATTATCCAAGGGTCCTGAGAGTTCACCCAAAATAATATCGCCCTCAAATACTCCTTGAAGAAGTACAGCACTAACACCACACACGTGAGCAATATAATCGTTACAATAATATTAAACAAATAGCCGTACGTCGTCCTATTGTTAATTTTAGCCCATAAACTTTTCTTTCGGGTGACCGCGGTCGGGTCAGTCTGACACTCTTCGACGTCCACTATTTCCATTGTAAAAGTTTTTATAAAAGTTAAACACTATTTATTTTAAAATACACGTTATAATTTCATACGGGTTGGCATTTGCCATGGCCTACTTTCAACGTCTGTTTATTTCACGCACAGCGCTAGGACTCCGATCAATCCGGGGACAAAAATTCAAGAATACAACAGTGCGTGACGTGCGTGACCATGACCAATTGAACACAGACTAGGCCATAGAGAAAAGTAATACATAGGAAANTTAGGATAATCTTCATTCGGACGATTAAACCTACAGTGCGCACATCTAACTGTTTTATTGTGTCTCCCGAACGTCACACATTACAGGCAGATAAGGTAGGCCAGTATCTATATTACACAAGCAACTGAGCTTACTGAGCAAAGCAGAGTGCGAGTTAGGCATAGCAACTATTAAAGCATAGACACTGACCCGTCCCAGAATCGCAAAATATGGGTTAAAATATAATAACACTACCAAGTTTGAGGCGCTCTTCGTGTAACCAAAGTTACAAAGAAGCTACGTCAGTATCAATACTAATAATATATTATCAGTGTTTTACTATTGTTACAGCTCACCTGTAATCATTCTGCCCAAACTGCTACTCT